GAAAAATGCCAATGGACAGAGACATCTGGACGCAACACTTAAAGAAAAAGCAATTACAGCAAACACATCTGGGGACTGCAGAGCCTTGATTTTTGTGAAGTCCTTCAGTGGCTACCAATTAACTCCTTTATGTGGCATAGTAAGTGGCAGGCGATCAGGGTTTTATTTGGTCTAATTCCTTGATTCATTGGATTACCCCATTAACTAGTGAAATCTCAAACTCTGATATCTGTTCATTTTTTTATTTGTAAAATCGTCTTGGGCTTAATATTTTTTTGTCGTTTTACCCAGGACAGTGAATGTTAACCTATAATGATAAAATAGAGAAAAATTATCTCCATATTTCATATTTACAAAAAATCCTTCAAACTGGAGAGAGAAAATTTTGGGCAAAGTAAACTTGGGAATTTCAGTAAGAGGAGATCCACACCAAAGCAATTACAAGAAGTAGTGTTTTTTTTTTTTTTTTTGTTTTTTGTTTTTTTTTTGTCAGCAAGAAGAAAAATGACCCACAGCTAAGAAAATACAGGGAAGAATAAAAAATACTTTCAGGTAAATATGAAAGAATATTCCTTTAGCCTGATACCAATAGCTATTACTATGGATAGTCTTTTACATTATAATAAAAGTCAAAGAAAAAAAGGAATATTTCAGAAACTTAAATAGGCATTGACTGTAAAAGAGTGGCAACAAAATGTTTTCCAGAGCTTAAATTACAGGTATAATAAAAACACATGCTAATCATAACATGAATAATGAAGAGGGAGAGAAGGAATAAAAGTATTCACATATTCTAGCAATGTGCATGGAGTGGTAAAGCACAAATTTATTTTGGAATTCAGTAAGTTATGTAAGCACGTGACAATTGCTGGGGCATCCGCAAACAATATGGGAACACAATATAATTCTGAATAATACAATCAAAGAGCAGTCATAAATTTAAATACAAATATGGTATGTGTATGTGTGTGTGAAAGACTTCCAGGCTAGATACAAAACAAAGCTTGTCAATGTTCATTACTGATTATGAGGTTAAAGATGTGCTGTGCGAAACCATCCAAAGCCACAATTAGTTTAATACCATCAGACCAAACAGCTTAAGACTCGAAGTGCTTGAAATGATGAGATCTAGTTCATAAAGATAGCAGGGCTAATCTGCTGTGGAAACATAGCAGTTATAAAGAGTAATAGGCATCAAATGATGACAGAAGAAACAGGGGAAATCAAAGTAATCCACAATCACATTGGAATATGTCCATTTGTCACATTGTAAATTATAGACAAAAATAATCAAAATAAACTGATAAATTTGCTTTGAATAATGAACAAACTTCATCTGGTTAACAGCTGAAAACATCACAAGTATAAGCTGAACAATTAAATTTATTGTCAACGGAACAAGAAACATATGTCACATCTGAGCCATGCTAAGTTATAGAACAATTCCTCCCAAATGTTAAACAACAAAAACACTGTAAAGCAATGACCTGAACAAGAAATTAAATTAGCAACAGAAGCAAATATGTCTAGAAAATTGTTCAACTATCTGGGCATTAAGCAGTGCTGTTCAAAATTTCCAGTGCAATGAGAGACATGAAAAAATTAAAATATATTTTAAGCTTGTGGTAAAAAATAAACAAAAATCTATAGGATGTTGCTAAAACTATGTTTACCAAGAAATTTGAAGCCAAAAGTACTTTTATTTTAAACAAATAATAAAAGCTGAAAATCAAAGTCTCCAATAGTCATTAGAAAACAGTGCTATAGTAAACGCAAAGAAATAGAAGGACGATCATGACAAATATGAAAATGAACAGGTAATAATAAAATAGAAAAAGAATATACAATAAAGAATACCTGAAAATTAAAAGTTGGTTCTTTGAAATATTAGATAAGTAAATACAAAAAAAGAATCAGTAATCAGAAAGGGGATCATTACTTCAGTTTTAAAAGATGACATAAATAAGCTTACATGCGTGAACTTGCAATATCAGCAAGTTACACAAACAAAAAGAAATGAAAATTAGTAGAATCCTCCCCATTGAAGAACATACACAATTTAAAAAGTGTGCAGAGAAACAGCTCAGTCTCAGAAAGTTTTACTAGCTATTTATCCAAATAACTAAAGAAGATATGAGATCCATCATAGCATCTATTGAAAATTTAAAAAGAATTCCAATTTTTTTAAGATTCTTTAAATCATTTGAAACTCATGGTAATAGGGAGAAGGAAGAGCTGAAGGAATTTTTCCATGTGATGGTCCATTCCCCAGATGCTCATACTTGTTAGAGCCGGACCAGGCTCAAAACAGCCTGAAACTCCACCTGGCTCACTCATGGAGGTGACAGGAACTCTGGGGCCTGGGTTGTAATCTACTGCCTTCCCAGGTTACCTGGAAGCTGAATCAGATGTATAGTGGCTGGGACTTGAACAAATCATTCTGACATGTGTTGTGGATATCTTAAGTGATGTTGTAACCCCCTGTGCTAGCATAACCTTGATATTAGAACCCTTACAAGGAGGCATAACCTCCTTGACAAAGATATAGGAGTAGGAAGCAGAGTATTGGAAAACCAGATACAATAGCATTTGAAATTGGTATCTAAACAGTATTTGAATTTGGTGTCTAATTGACAAAATCGGATTATTTAGGCATTAACATTATAGCATCAATGTCTTATTTGTCAGAATACTAGAATACAGAAGGAAAGCAAGATTGAATAAAACACAGACAAAAATTTATATAATTCAATACTTAGCAATAATAAGTGATATTCTTAAAAGTAGAAACTGAAGGAATCCTCTTTAAGATGATAGTGAGTGTCTCTCAAAAAATAAAACGCTCTACCCAAGGGTATACATCACAAATTATTATAAAGCAATTTATTCCATAACTCATATAGGAAACAGAGTAAAGCTAGTATTATCATCATGACTTTTCAATGCCATTTGGATGGCCAGTAAATACAGTAAAAAAAAAAAAAAACCCTGAAATTGATGATAATAAGATTAGAACTGATAGTGACAGAAACCTGAACACTACAAAGAAATTGTTGAGTATGTTAATAAAATTTCAGAATTCCTAGAATAATCAATACATACATGAACATATAGTTTTTGATATCAGAAGTGAAGGGAGAAGAGTGTAGATTTGGTATAACAAGTAAGGTGCTTGAGAAATCCACATCATGTGTTAGAATGCCTGGGTTTGAGTCGTGGCTCTGCTTCCAATTCATTTCCTGTTCACATCCACCCAGAGGTAATAGCTGTTGCTCCAGTGCTTGTGTCCTTGCCTCCCAAATGGGACACTCAGATAGGTTCTTTGCACCTGGCTTGAGTTGGCCCCATGTCAGATTGTTTCAGGAATTTGGGGCAAAAGATCTAGCAAACGGAAGATCTGATAGCTAAGCAACTTTTCTTTTCCTTACTCCTCTCTCTTTTCACTTCCCCCGTCATTGCTGCAGTTAACAAGCAGAGCCATTTCAGAAAATAATTTATGAAGCATATCTTTCCATTTCATATGTCATCTCCTACTTCTATTTTGCCTTTTGTATTTTTGCACCCTCCCTTCTGTCTTCCTTTCTGTTTGTACATTCATTGGCAATATACAGAGTTCAGAAAAAGAATTAATTACGTCAGCTTACCCAAGAATGCAGAAGACTGGAATACTTTCTTGTCTAGTGAGCTAACACCAGCAAACCTATGTGTACTTTTTACAGCTGACCGGTGAAAGCTGTCTCTGAATTTTCGAAGTTAGTATTTTGAGTTTCATACATTGTCATTACACCTAGAAAAGCACAACTTGTCGGAAGATATACACAAATACACACAAACCTTCAATCTATGTTTGTCAGAGAAACTGATATCTTTAGTCAAAATCTCTTGTATGAAAGATGCTCAAGATCCTGGTTTCACTTATAAATTCTGTCAACAGTTGAGAGATGACTTCACTTTAAAAAATTATTTAAGGAGTGATTGCTTCCTGAACTGAAAAAGGCCCACATTGATTGTTATCACACAATAGGGCATGATTCACCTGTCGGGTCTTTCATGAATTCATATTATTTCTTAGACCATCCCCATATTCTTCTGATCTAACTTACACTAAAAGAGGGGATGCGATACTGTGTGTGTGTGTGTGTGTGTGTGTGTGTGTGTGTATGCACGTATGTGTGTAAGATGGAAAAAAATCATCAAACTCTTCTCACAGAATCCCTTTTACACCACAATCCTAACAAGCAAACCCAGGTATGTATTAATCAATGTCAGTTCATCACAACATGGGACAAATACTCTAAAAGCCAACAAAGCTCAAGCCTCATTCATGAATAGTGTAATGAGGCCCTGGAAACGAGTCTATATTCTGTGAAACATCTTTTCCTAATGGGCAAGGATATGCTTATAAGTTGTTTCTCAGCTTTCAGAATGAATGAACAGAACAATGAGGATCCTTACAAACATTGCATGCTTCAGTCTTCCCAGAAATGTAAGTCCAACTGCTCTAGTCCTCACACACACAATAGTGTGTGTGAATGCATATCCATATATGTATTTACCTATAAATATAAATGTGTGTTTAAACTGCTCAGATAACTCTAATGTGTAATTGGAGTTGAAAATCTTCTAAAATGCTAACGATTATGTGGAAAAACCAAGTCTTGTCATTTATGAATTCTGTTTGTGAGTGTTCATTATGAAGAGTTGATGTCTAATCTTTCCTAGAGTTTTTCCAAGGAAATTAAAAAAAAAATGAGATAGAGGCACTATTGTGTACTTGGCAGTAAACTGTGAGGGGCCCACTATAAACCATGAATTCCTATAGAGTAGAACAAATATGATTTGATGAATAGAAAGGAAAGTAGAAGAATATCCTGAATGAAAAATATTAACCCAAAGGAGAAATGGAAAAGTTTATGAAAAATAAAACAATAATAGATACAAAAGAAACCAAGAAACTGACAACAAAACTAGGTAGACAAAAGGAGAAAGGGATACACAACTTAAAATGTTAATCAATTTTTTATTAATTTTAATAACTTTCCACTACTCTGATGCCATTTCTGAGGTTTTGGCCAATATTCAAACTAGATATCCAGTACACTCACCTCAATTGATTTCCATTCCATGAAAACAATTTAAGATGAGTTATTATACTTTATGTGTATTCTTTACATTTACCTTTTTCTGAGATCATTTTTACATGACAGAAATTTAACTTTAAGTGGCATTTCAAAGATAGAAACAAAGACAGAACAATTAAATACTAAAGCAGAAACAAAACCTTTATTCTTTTGGCTTGATTGTAATGTGGTTTTACCGTTCTTTATGGTAATAGCATTTTCCTGCATGCATTTCACCAACACACTACAAGTCAATAGCTTTAGTATAAAGAATCTACATTTAATGCTGCTTGTGAAACACAAAATATTTTGCTGTAACTGGTGAAATAGTCTCACTACTTGGTTCTGTGAGGGGGGAAAAGCTTGAATCCTGTATCATCTAGATACTAGAACTTGCAGAGTTCTAGTGCCATATGGGTTGGTGTGATTAGATTTATTGATGTGAACAAACACTGGAAAAGATTGCTGATTACTGAATAAAAAGACCAAGTAGAAACACAAAATTCAAGCAATGCTAAGACTCAGTTGATCTTTCCCTAAGCCTCTCTCGATAATAAAGGTATCACTATTTGAAAGCAAATACCAGGACTCAGCTTGAGATTTGTTTCACAATGAAATGTGTGCAAATTTACAAGATTCATAAAAAAAGCAGAAACCTCTACTGTGTCTTAGTGCTTACTTCTTATTTTGTGAAGTGCTTTAATTCAAAAGTGCTAAGAACAAAAACTAACAATGGTGACTGTGACATCAACCTGAAGATACTTTTAATTCTCATTTAATGTACAAAAGGCTGAAAAATAAAATAAAATGAACTTTGTACAGTATTTATATTTTCTTAGAAAACTCTAACCATATATTTTCAACAGATTTAAGCAGCTTGCAACGTGTTTGTACAGTCAGGCTTTTCACCGCAGAGGACTCAGTCATGATTGGCAGAATAAAAAGCAAGTAGCTCTTCACGGTTTGCTGCGATCTATTGCTTCACAACATGAAGAATGAGGTCTTGATAGAACAACACACTTCAATCTACCACTGACATATGGCTTCCCATATCAGACTTTGGAACAGTAGAAGGAATAAGATACAGCAGCATTGGCAAGATAAACATGCAGCAGAGACAGCCTCAAACTATAATGGAACCAATTACATCGTATTATCTGTTGAAAGCTTGCAAACTATACTTACGGTGGTACATATTTGATGCAATAAATACTGTGCTTAAGTCATCATTTTTGTTTGCTCAAACATGCACCACTGGGTAAAATTACTATTTACAAAGCAGACTTTCATTTTAAAATTGAGATATGTCAACCTTACCAAGAGCAGAAGATGGCTAAACAATACTGCAGGAAAAAGTAGAATCAACTTTATAAAGTGGTGGTGGGGATGCTTTTTGGTCAATTCAGATTTCATAGAAAGAACTGACAGGATATTTTAATTTTATGCCAAAGGACACTTATAAAAAATGTGTAGTCATGCTGGGACTCAACTCTGAATGACTATGTAATGGTACCTATGTGTGTGTGAGTTTGTGCATGTGTGTACAACATACCTATATACATATATACACGTACATATAATGGAGTATGTAAAAATAAAACAACTCTCAAATGTTTGAGTTCTACGGAACATTTACAGGCACATTAAAATCTTTTGTGGATGAAACATCTCAAAAATATGAATAGCTATTTAAGCACCTCAAAATCTAAAAACATCCTGAAACAAGACATAAACTCTTTCATTGAGTGATGTGATATTTTTTTTCATGTGCGAATGAGAATTATAACATGCCATGATTGAAAATGCACCCAGTTATACAATAAAGATATGGAGGATTCACTCCCTCGACTCCCTCTCCTCAAACATAAACCCGTTTACAAAAATAGTCACATGTAATAGTAAACAACCTGTGGATTTAAAAAAAAAAAGGTGATAAAATCACAGCACACAATTTGTAAAAATATGACAGGGTTGGCAGTTAAAACATAAGCAGTGGTGACAATTACGTATTATCAAGTGTCACGCATTGAATTTACATAAAAATTTAACTTCCCTCCCCTTTGAAATTGGTTCCTATAGTCTGAGTAGCCATTAGGTCTCTGCTCTTCAGCAGTGTCAGCTGGTTGTGAAAACAGAAACCTCCTGTTGACGCTGTTTCTCGAGTTTATTGAGTCTCCATTTGCTGACCAGAGGTCGCTGTCTTGTTATAGGCACTGACCTTAAGTACACATTTATGAAAACACAGTCAGTTTGGCATAGACTTCCTGTGGGAGTCCTGTGGACACAAATAAATCACCAACACAGGCTGTAAACAATTGATCACAAAATGGAATACGCTTTGCTTCTTTTCACTTTTTACTTTCCCTGATATCTTTTCCTTTGTCTTCCTTTTCTGATTTGTCTTTTTCAAATTTTTCCTTTTCTGGTTTTGTCACACTATCGTATGACGGCGGAGAAGTGGTGGATGGTGTCACGTCGGTTTTCTCTGGAGTTGAATTCTCATTTAGTTTGTCAATGAGGATCTCTTCTTTAATAGGTGTCCCATCACCTTCCTTGCTTTTGTCTTTCTTATATATGGATGAAACCTTTTTAACCTTTTGCTTCAAGAGGTAGCGTCTGTAAGCCCTCTGGATAACGATAGCAGACACCTCCTCTTGCTTGCGTTTCAGAGTGGTTGTGATGGGCTCATAAGAGACCTTGGAAGGATTTGAGGCCATGAATCGTTCTTCCATCTGTATTCTAAGGGCGTCCATCTCTCCACTCTCACCTAAAACACGCTTTGTAAAAGCAAACAAAATGTCCAGGCAGTGGATCCGGTCGCCACTGACCATGGGCAGGTCCATGGCAATGAGCTGTACTTTGTTTGGTTTTGCTATGAGAAGAGGAGGGTCGAGGGCAGCGGCAAAATCAGAGAGCTTGGAGAACTCTATAAACTGGGTGGCATCTGGGTCAAACTTCTCCCAAACCTCGTAGAACATCTCAAAGTCATCCTCACTCAGGGGCTCTGCACTTTCCTCGGTAGCAACACTGAAGTTCTCCAGGATGACAGCAATGTACATGTTCACCACCACCAGGAAGGATATGATGATGTAACTGACAAAAAAGAAGATTCCAACAGATGGGTTCCCGCAGTCTCCCTTAACTGAGCTCCCAGGGTGATCTTTCTCAGGGTCACAGTCGGGTGGGCCACTATTGAGGATAGGTGCTAGCAGTCCATCCCAGCCAGCAGAGGTGGTTATCTGGAACAGGCAGATCATGCTATTGCCAAAAGTCTCAAAGTTGAACATGTCATCAATCCCTACTTCTCTCTTAACATAGGCAAAGTTGGACATCCCGAAGATGGCATAGATGAACATGACCAGGAAGAGCAGGAGGCCGATGTTAAACAATGCAGGAAGGGACATCATCAAAGCAAAGAGCAGGGTACGGATCCCCTTTGCTCCTTTGATCAGACGTAGGATTCGGCCAATCCTGGCCAGTCGGATCACTCGGAACAGGGTAGGTGACACAAAATATTTCTCTATCAGCTCAGCGAGAAACATACCTGTGAAAAACCAACAGGCAACAAAAATAGTGTGAATATTATGAAACAAAAATCTGTAAGGGAAAAACTCTCTAGTAGTAAACATCTTTAGTTGACAATTACATATTCAAGCACATATCTATTTATATGTATATAAAATTTGAGAATGTTTGTTTAGTAAAATAAAACTGGCCTGTTTTGGTAACAACATTAACATCTGTGCTAAATAAAGATGGTAATGGTCAGACTTACTTCAAGATAAGCACTTACTGAGAGAGTGTATACTAGCAAAAGAATGACCTAATCATTGAGTGACTCAATCACTCAATGATCAGAGACATCACAAGTGCTTAACAGCCAAGTACAGAAATGGATTACTATTTATAAGATACCAGTCTTGTACTTCCATAAGGATGAGGGATAAATCCTGTGATTTTTGATCAGGAATATAGAAGTTCTTATGCTTCTGAAATAGCTGTAATACAGATTTGTTTGGGAGGGGGGATGTGATATAAAGAGAGAAATAAAGCCTTTGTAGATAGGCACACTTGCAACAAAATCCTGGCCCTTGTTTTGTGCATCACTATATGCTGAAAATGGCAAAATTTTTGTTTTTATTGTTCTAATTAGACCTAACAGTTACTGAGTCCTTTCTTTGTTCTAGGCACAATGCTAAGCGCATTCATGTAAACACACTACAGACATTGAGACTACAGATACACTCCTTGGAAAATGAGGGGCTGGAAGGCTGAGGTAAATTGTCCCAGGTCATAGAGTTGGTATACAGTGAAATATGAATAATCCCTATAGATACACACGAGTCATCTCCTAAGAACTACATCGTGGCATGATTGGAAGGAGCCAATGGAATGGTACACAGGTAAAATGCCCTATAATATGAGCACATGCAGATTGAATACTGGTATATTATTTTCTTCCCCATGTTCACAAGGGTATGTAATTTGAAGTTCACAGCATACTAAAAGAGAAACTTATCTTGGTATAAAATTCTTCATGAAGTTCATGGAAAATAAACATTATGAAAAAATGGAAGCTTTGTTTTAAAATGTCTGCACCAAGATAAAATGTATCTTTTATTTCAATTATTTTGAGGAAGTTTTGCATGTATATTTGGATATTCCCTTTCCTCAAACTGGCAGAATCATGTCTTGATTTGCCCACTGCCATCACCTTATTTCATATCCTTCACATAAACAGTTAGCACATATTGGAGATAATGAATTTGTTTTGGGTTTTTGAATAAGATGTCATCTTCTGAAAATCAGTATTACATTCCATAGAAAACTGTTTGGGCACAAAGATAATACGAAAGTTCTATTGTGTTATTATGTATAGCCCTATACTCTACTCTGTCATTATCCATACCCATATATACTTTGAATTATCAAAGAAATGATATTTATATGGATGGCTTTATGCCACAGGAGTATGCCTGAGCACAAGAGGTTTATGCAAAGTTGAATCGTCTTTTGAAACAAGGCTAAAATAAGAAATGGCAGGTGAAAATGTAAATTTTTTCTAGTACTTCATTTCATGCACAATGTGAGAATAGAGAAATGACTGAAGGATAAGTATTTGAATTTTATTTGGAGTTTCAGGATGAAAGGAAAGATTAGTGAAAACACATCTAAAGTTTTAAAATACAACCTTTTACTCCTAAATTTCTTAATTGAGTAAAAGCACCTCGTCTTACCTACAATGGAGAGAATGACCACAACAAAATCAAAAATATTCCATCCAATTGTGAAATAATAGTAGCGAAGGGAAATTAGCTTTAGCACACATTCTCCAGTGAACAGCACAATAAACACCAGATTAATCCAGTACAGAATATTTGTCATTTCTTGACTCTGGTCGTCTGTTTCCACCATCATGGTGACCATGTTGAGGCAGATGAGAATCATGATGCTGATGTCAAAGATTTGCTTGGTGACAAAATCGAAGACCATGCCTTGGAATTTGTTCTGCAACAAGTAATATATAATAGTGCATTTAGAAACTGGAAATCTGACATTAATCTAGAGCTATAAAAATACAGCTTTTATAAAACTTATCACACTTATTTTATACTCGGGATACAATTTTGTATATCAGAAAATCTAACTCTTTCAAGTGTATTCATATTATTTATGAAGCAAGACTTTATAAATTGACTCCTAACAGCTGTCTATGCTGTCCTTAGTGCCGAGAACATCAACATATTGGGATGGATTGTCAGCACTATAGCAAACCTCTTTAATCAGTGTGTTGGTGGTATATATTAAAACTGATCTTAATGAAGTAATGAACGCTCCTGCAGATTTTTTTCCCCTTTATTTCACTCATCAGTACCACAATATCTTAAACTCATCTGAAATTTCAGCCGAGAAATATTTTCAAAATGGTAATTGAGTTTTGGGAGGCAGCATGTGATGCGTTTCTCTCTGGCTTTCAAATGCATCAGACAGTAGTTTAAGAAAAATTACATTAATGAAAAACTAGTAAAATCCAATTAACTTGTGTGATTGAATGATATTTTATCAAGTTTAACTTCTTGGTTTTAATAATCAGTTATGGTTATTTATGAGGTTAAAATAAGTTTACAAAATAGTTAACATAGCTGTATAAACATTATATGATCTACTCATCTGAAGTGATAAAATTATTACTTAAAAAGTTACAGCTCACAGTTATATTCAAATTTTGTTTTCCTGGATCTTGATACTAATATTGTTCTCAATATTTCATACTGGTGCTATGTTTCTTTTGGCATAGGGAGCTTTCATTATTTCCATTTGAAATTATTTAGCATCAAGCATCATCTGTGCTACGTTCCTCTTGATAAAATTTGGGCCTGACAGCTGGATGTTTATTAGAGGTTTCCAAAAGCTAATATAAAACACATGTTATGAAAAAATTACATTGATTTACATTTTTGCACCAAAGCATACTTTTCTTTCAACTTCACTTTCCATAGAAGTTTGGAATTGTCATTCATGCATCAACTGAATCTGTCCTCACAGTACCCCCTTCAGCTTCGCACACGTGTCTAATTCCAATCTCCTTGTTTCTAACTTCCAGCTATCCCCTATCGTCCACTCTCACTAAAATATACCACCTCTTCTCTATGATTTTATCTGTTTATCACTCTGTTTAAACAACCTTCCCTACTGTTTCTATCTGGTGAATCCTAGCTCAATTTTAAGAAAGCGTTTTGTGCTCTCAGAAAGCTTATTTCTTTTCATCAATCATAAAAAATATGACTATATTACAAATGTTTTGGTTTTTTCATTTTATTATTTTTTTTCCATTCCACTTGCTTGGAAGTTCCTGAAGAGAATGGCAATGTCATTTTCCTCAAAGATGAAGCACCTGAGATTCCTTTGGTTCAAAATGCCTTAAACGAAGGAATTCGGTCTTAATTTTTATGTCATCACAATCAACAAGATTCAGTGCACATGTAGTATATGTTTTCATACACCATTAAAAATTCTTTAGAATACTCTAACTCTGACCGCATCACTCTTATTCTTCATTCACTTTCTATGCAACTTAGTCACATACTTTTTCCTTCTCTCTTCAATTTCTTTCCCTACAGAACTCCCTTCAGTGGACCTCAACCGAATCTCCCAATCTGGAGAACTTTGATCACTTCTTCTAAATATTAACCGTTTCTCTTCAGCCTTCCTGTGTTTGGCTTTGGGTGACAGACCTCAAGGGCCCTGCTGGCAATTTCTTGCATTAGCCCAAACAGAATAAGCAACCACAATATGCAATTGGAAGAACTGTAATCATAAAAAGCATGGTATTATTCCATGTAGGCAGTAGTAGAAGAAAACAGAAGGTTTAGTTATCTATCCAACTAGAAAAAGCATTCATGTGATCCATTGCATTAATAATTCCATGCAGTCTCCAGTGGGAAATAGTTGCATCTGAACTATACCAAGCATGTCAGTCAGTCCTATGCTGAGTATATTCAATATTTCCACATTACATAGGATGTGTATATATTTTTTTATCCATATCATCATAAACTGTTTAACAATGTCAATTTTGTGTGCTACTCTAGGCATTTAAGCCTGAATTTTAAATTTATGCAATGCTTACATTCAGATACAAGATTTATCTATAATAAAATCCATAATGTTATGTATATTTAAAATACACTTATTCAGGCTATTTAGCCTAGCTAGTTACACCATAAAGCTAAAACTTTCTGTTGCAAGTCGACGAAACGCTACTTTCCAGCAATTTTAATTTAAAAACAATGGAAAAGATAGCTTTAACTGGGAGGAAAGGATGGTATCCTTACAGCAGGTCGAGGTATGGGTTTTTGTGGTTTCTTCGAACCAAGTTTTTTCATTGCATTGTAATATTTCTTCTGTTCTTCTGTCATAAAAATGTCCTGACCTCCAAAGTAAAGAAATGAATACAAACTTGTTAAAACCAAGTTCTTTGCTGGGTATATAATCCAACTTACTAATCATGTTTAAAAATTGGCTCCCACAGTGTTGTACAACGTTAACAACATCTATATTTATGGAAATGCATATATCACACACATAAATTATGGTGTATTTGTTATATTTCCAGACTAGAAATACATAAATCCACAACCTAAATTACCAATTAAATGTTGTACCTTCTCAAATATATCAAAGTAATTTCTGAATTTTATATTGTTTTCTTTTGCTGATAAAATTTTGGAACATACAGGATTCAAAGTAACATATGTTCACACTTTAGAACAGCGACAAAGATTTAATATACTTATCTTCTTTTTCTGTTGGTTGAAGTTATCTATGATGACACCAATGAAAAGATTCAAGGTAAAAAATGAACCAAAAATGATGAAGATGACAAAATAAAGATACATATACAGATTGTCTTCATACTTGGGTTGCAATTCTACCTACAAAATATAAAGAATAATAATCATTGATTTTTTTTTCATAAAAGCATCTTGGTGAATTCAATTCTTAAAGCATGCCTCAATCATTATATGAGAAAAAGCTAAGCATTAAACTGATTTGATGATCATTCACATTTTGTAGAGTCACAGGTAGCTATTTGTTAATTTGAGAAAATAAAATATTTCATAGATAAGGGTGATAAAAACTTTCACTCACTAAATGCTTATGAATGCATTTTTGGTTATAAATGAAGATCTCATTGCAGCATACAAATTAATGTTTTTTAATCTTATAGAAGTGTTCAAGTCACACAATTCTATTGTAAAATTTTTAACATGTATTTTATCTGCCTTGTTTCCCTCAACTGCAAAATACATACAATAGAATCTGATCCTCATAGGACCACTGCAAAACTTAAATATATTAATATAGGAAACATGCTTAGAAAAGCGCCTGTATAGTAGTAATTGCTACGTACAAGTGTTTAATGTAAGTGCATAATTCCTGAAAAGGAATAGGGTCACTATTGTACATTTTAGGCAGTTGGAACTGTTTCAGTAACAGTTATTGTTTTATCCAATTCCCCTGTTTAAGAAGAGACAGTATAGTTGGTTTGAATTTTGGCTGTCACTAATTTTAACAGCTTCAGCTCTCACATTGCTTTCACACACTGAGTTAACTAGTCATTGATAACAAATACAAGTTTTGATTCATTATTTTGTAAAATCAATTTAGAAGGTCATTATCAACATAAAGTTCCCTAATAATATAGTAAATAACAGAATACTCTAAAGTTACCTGTTTGGTGAGATTTCAATTTTATTTGTATGTATGTGTGTGAAGTAATATAAAATGTTATTTGAAAATGTTTTACAATTGAACACAATACACATTCAAGAAAACCTATGATAATAAATGCAATATATGAAATGCATTTCTGGAAAGTGAAATCCACAGCCCAGGACATTTTTATAAGTCTAGAAATTTTAAGTTTATTCTTTTCAGACACAAACCGTAGCAACCCTGTGAGAGGTAAATCATTATTCTAGCACATATGGTAATTTTTATTTACTTGATTTTTTTAAAAATGTTTCACACTGTTTTACTATTTCCTTTTATAATTTTACAATTGAAAAATACCATCTTCACCATTTCTAAAATGTTTATTTACTTGAAAGAGTGATGAAGAGATAGGAAGGGAGGGAGAGAAGAGAAGCAAGAGAGAAATAGTGTGGGGGGTATCCCTTATGATTTTCTCTCAGAGATCTCATGCAAATGCCAGGAGCCAAGCATTCACTGGGCCTGGGAAGTAGTGAAGAGAGTGGAGATGAGTCCATTTCTTGTGATCAGAGTTCAAGCACATGTTCTACATTTAAGGTGTGAAGCCTCTTTCTTCAATGATAAAATAAGATTGATATCATCTGTATGATAAAGTTGGTAATTGAGATCAAATAAGCTAATTTAAGAAAGTCCTTAGCATAGTGAGCAATCATAAAAAAGTTATTATGATTCAGAGAGCATCCACAACTGGGATTCATTGACCGCACTAACAGAGGTGTTTAGTTTTTCCTTCTAGTTCAGCTTTTATAAGGTAGAAAAAAATTTAGGAATTCATCATTTGGTAAGTTAGCTGCACGGTTGACACTTTGGCAGCCCATTATCCCATGCTGGACTGTTGGTTCAATTTCTGGTCGCTCTGCTTCCTACCTAGCTTACTACTAAGCTACCTGGGAAAGCAGCAGATGTTGGCTCAATAGCTGGGTTCCTGCCACACATGTAAGAGACCTCACAATTCTCCTGGCATTAACCTTGCCCAGACTTTGCTGTTTTTATTTGAGGAGTAAATTCGTAGATGGAAGAGCTCACTTTTTCTGTGTCCCTCTGTTCTCCCTGACACTTTGCCTTTCAACCAACCAACTGATCAAATATATTGAATTTCTTTAAAAAGAAAGCTAGTTCCTGGTGCCAAAGAAAGAGAATTTTGAACTAACTGCCATGCTCTTGCAAACTAAAATGTGATTTCTCCCTTGTTAAACAGTGAAAACTGCAAAAAAAAAAAAAGTTGCAAAGTACTGATACATATGACATAAATCTGAAAATTTCTGATTTCTATCATATAAACACACTTTCAGAAAGAAATAAAGCTTCTAAATTCCTCTTGGTTGCTATTTTCCCCCAGCCATTAGACATATATTTACTATTATAAGGAAAATAAATTGCTGCAGCAAATGTATAAGGGATGAAAGAAGTTGCCTATTAGGGTTTCTAGTACATAAATCATTGGGATGACCAGGGCTAAAACCCAATACTCTCAATTTGTAAATATAATGAATAATTGTTAAAATATTCAAAGTGAATCAATAAAAACATACTAGTAGGATTGAAAGAAATACTCTATATTCAGTTTGTATATATAGATCAATTTTTACAGTACATATATGTTGGAAACCTCACTAAATTACAGTGCTGTGGAAATGGTTACTTGACTGAGTCAAACTTTCTTCTAAACAATCTTACATTTCGTGAGTCGACAGCGGCATACATGATATCCATCCATCCTTTAAATGTGGCCTGTAAAAAGATCACATCATTTATTTTTTCTAAATTATAATTGTAGAAAATATGTTTAAAATCCTAGTTGATTCAAATTGTTTCAAGTACAGACATATAAAACAGTTTGAAGTTAATATATAAACTTTTGATAATTTTTAAAACAGGCATTGAAAACATCTCAAATTCATATTTTCATATTTGTATGTATAAGTTAACATCTAATTATATCATGTTTTGCCAATTATATCCTATCATGAAAGTGGCATCTGCATTTTTTACTCCCATACGATTATAAGAATGTCACATGAAATTTGATGATAAAATTTCACTTACATCAGAATGAGATAAATCCAAAAAGATGCTGAATTGTATGATTTTAAAGTTTTGCTTCTGTTTATTATTCTAAATGATATTATCAAGAAGCATTAGGTATTTTTATTGAGTATTTTAAGGTAATTTTTAACAACCTCCTAATATGAAAAAAAAACATACTCAACCACAGTTTGGCATTTTAAATATTTATTTACTGATGCATGTGCAGAGGATTTTGAAAGCAAGAGTCTTGCACGTTTTTGCAGTCCCTTAGTGCCCTGGGCTCTGTCTTTTGCCTGTTTATGTCTAGTGTTTGATGAGCTCAGGGAGCAGATGGAGAGGGGACACTGTTCAGCTGATGAATTCATTCATTCTGAATGAATTCTTATGAACATACAGCAGACATAATCTTGATAGGACACATTTCATTTGAAGGAGAGTAGATGTTCAGCCAGCAGGCAGGAATATGGAAACAAGTACAGAATCTGAGCATGGGTGTGAAAGTAGATTTGGTTATAATATTGGTGGTATTTGAGTGGGTGGTGATTTGATATTAGCATACACTATCTGCTCTAAAAAAGGGCAAAGAAATCTCTTTTCCCTTTCTCCAGAGAGAAAAAAATATCCTCCCAAGCTCTTGGGGACAAGCATATCTACTTTGCTCAGAGTTGGGATGGGAGAAAAACAATGGGAACCTAAACAGAAATCTCACAAGTAAGAGAGATGAATGGGGCTATTCAATTCTTAATCTGAGAAACTTCTGTGGAACTGTTTTGTTTTCCATCTGATGAGGAGAAAAAAACAGATTAACAATTACTGAGGGAAGAACTAGGGAAACAACCTTAGAAAGATTTTGCAAATGCTGGGTAAAAAGAATTTAAATCCCATTTACATTTCATATATTTATGCAGTTTATTATAGTTACATATAATCTATCTGCCTTTTAATTTTAGTTCTTTTACATTTCTTTTAAAGTGGCAAATAACAATTATATATGCTGCCCAATATTATATTTTGAAATACACATACATTGCTGAATAGTTAACTCAATCTAAGTAGCATATGCATTACTTCATTTATTTTTTTGTGGTGAGAACATTGAAACTCAACTCTCTTCATGATTTTTGAGTATTTAAAGCATTATTTACTAAAATCATCATGCTATACATTAGATTCCCAGAATTCATTTCTCTCATTAAATTGAAAAGTTGTACTTATTGATGAACTTTCTTCCTATATCCAACTCCCAGGAACCTCTTTTTGCTCTCTGCTTCTTTTTAGATTTCATATGTAAATGAGATCATGTGGTATTGGTCCTTCTGTTCATGACTTATTTCATTTAATGTAATGACCACAGATTCATCCATGTTGTCAATGTAGTTTTCTTTCTCATTAAAGCAGAAGTATTCAGTTGTGTTTGTGTGTGCACATATACACACTACTCATTATCCATTCATTCATTGACACATGTTTATGTTGATTCTGTATTTTGACTTGTGATGATGGTGCTGGATATAAAAATGTTTAGGCATCTGTTTTGGAGACAGTGATTTCATTTTCTTTGGACGTATGCCCAGAAGTGGGAAAGCTGGTCATAGGTCTTCTTATTCTTAACTTTTGAGGAACCTTCCTACAGCTGTCAACAACAACTGTGTTGATCTGCTCTTCAACCAACATGTCTGCAAGGATTCCCTTTTCTCCACATAGCTGTCCACACTCACCTTTCTTCTTTTTTGATAATATTCATTCTAGGTGTCAGGCACTATTTCATTGTGGAGAAGTTAAGACTCCTTTTAATTGCATATAACAAAGATCAATAAAGTGATTACTTACTACTTGGAGCAGGGAAAGATACCCAAGTCCCACATTGTCAAAGTTCACTTTCACGTTTTTCCACCTTGCTGTTTGATTGCTTTCTATGAGGGCTTGACATTCACTGTAGTTGTTGACTACGCTTACATCAAACATCTCTCCTGTGGTGAAGTTAATGCAGTGGTAAAACTTGCCAGCGAAAAGATTCACTCCCATGATACTGAATATTAGCCAAAAGATCAGACAGACCAGTAGGACATTCATTATGGATGGGATGGCTCCTAAAAGAGCATTTACAACCACCTGGCACAGAGGATAAGGAAAAAGATAAAAATTCAATTACAAATCTTCACTATTATCTATTATCACATAGGATAAAAAATAATGAGGGTCAAATGTTAGAAAAATATCTGTTCTTTCAGTTCTTATTGAGTAGAAATTAGGTTCTGGTAGGTCTAAGAATTTTAAAATTATAGTTTGGAGGAGCAGAAGATAATTATTTTATGGTAGAATGCTTTTTTCAAGATGTAAGGGTACACTTGTAATAATGTTTTCCCAAAGTGTAGTTGTGAAAGCAAAAATAAGTGCAAATAGTGACCTGAGATAGAAACATGATTATCATCTTAATATCACAATTTTTAAAATATTTTAAAAAATATTAAAAAATCATGTCAACTATGCAATTTGTTATCCAGAATTTGAGAGAAAAGGAAAAATGCTTGTGTAAAATTCCATATGAAAAATATAAAAATTGTTTTTGTGCTGACAGATATCCCTTGTTTGTTAAACTTACTATTGCAAAAACAACTTATTTCAAACTGATAAAATGAAAAAAACGGCAATTCCTCTCCATGTAATTCTATACACACAAGTACACACACACACTACTCCCACAGAGACACGTACCTCTTTGCATGTCATTCATTTCTGGTTGTGTTTGCAGCAGAAAGAAGTCTAAGTAATCACTTGAAAATATCACAAAGTACCCATTTTCTAACAGTTTCTTTTGCATAGTTAGAACCACTAAGACACAGCATCATTGTTCACTGGAGAGTAAAGGCATGTGGTCTGTGGTCTTAGGTTGTGTGTCCCAGGCGATGACAAATTTCGGCACCCATTCCCCCTGCTTTCATTGTGGCACCTTTCTAAATGAATAATTTGTTTTCCACAGTTGACCTACTTTTTAACCATCTCAGCCTGTGTTTAAAACTGACAGATCATATTTCAGCTAAAAATACATTATTAGAACAGTGAAGAAATGATGAGTAAAGATTCACAACTATCCAAATCCAGTGAGTAGAAATTCCTGTACATATATAAATGGAATGGATATAACTAGTCATAATTTAAATCAGTAGCTTGCAAAAACATGGTATAAATTTCCCATAGGACAAAAATCTAGTCAATTAGAAACAAGCACTGGGATGTCACATTTCATTATTGTCTCTAGTGGTGGTAAGTACTGTGGATATCTGATAAATGTGGTTATTGATTATTTCAGTACATCAGTGTTTATGTAGAGAGCACAACTTATCCATAGACTTGCCATCTGCAAGGTGAAAACTATCAATCCGTTTTCCTTTGTGGCTTTCAGGAATTCTAAAGCATTTTGTCTTACCCTCATTCCTTCAAAGCGGGATAAGGCCCTCAATGGTCTCAGAGCTCTTAGTGTTCTGAGGGATTTGATGGCACCAAGTTCTGAATAACCCAAAGCATTGGCAGTTAAGCTAACCAATGAAACCTAAACAGAAAAAGGAACACAGTCATCTTAAATACAGACAAAGATATCTATTCAATTGAACCTTGCTTTGTGGAATAAATGTCACCCAGAATGTTTATCAAAGATACCAACATCTAGCAGAGTTTTATTTAGTAGGTTTGGGATTTATAACTGAGTACATTTCTACAAGTTCTGAGGAGACGCTAACAATTTAAGCCTGTAAATTGCACTTAACAGAAGAAATTGGGGCTAGACTTTGTGACACAAACTAAGTTGCTGTCTGCAACACTAGCATCCCATACGGGAGCTGGTTCAAGCCCAGCTGTTTCACTTCTGACCCAGCCCTCTGATAATGCAAGATATGCTCCAAGTACTTGGGTTTCTGTCACCCACATAGGATATCTGGAAGGAATTCAGGCTGTTGGCTTCAGCTTCACCCAGCCTAGGAGAGTCCTAGCCCATCTGGAGAGTGAACAACTGGATGGAAGTTCTCTCTGATCCTTCCTCTCTTTTTGTAATTCTGCCTTCCAAATGAATAAATACTGCCATCCAAAAGACCTATACTTTTCAATATTTTTCACATAGAATATGCTTACCTAAGATTTATATATCTTAAAATCAGAGTTACAGATAGAGAGAGAGCTAAGAAAGGAGGTATGGATGTTGTAAGAAGGAGAGAGAGATAATCTGTTGGCAGGGGTGGGTCAGGCTGAAGCCAAGAGCAAGGACCTTCATCAGGGTCTCTCAAACAGAGCCCAAGCATTTGGTCCATTTTTCACTGCTTTTCCCAGGTCATTATCAGGGACAAGGTTTAGAAGTGAATCAGTTGAGACACAAACTTACACCCATTTAGAATGCTGGCATTGCAGATGGTGGCTTTACCCAACACATCCTAACAGTGTCTCCATCAGATAATGTTTTTAAAAAATAAAGCAAAAAGAAGAAAAAAGTACTATGAGCTTCATGTACAAGTCTATAAAATCATATTATTTTGAAGACCTGAAAGGGAAATTAAAGCTTGTTAAATAAGTAAACTGCAAATCACTGGTGCAAATGAAGATACATACATTCGCATAAAACCAGATCTCAAAATAGTACCTGTGTTCTTTTGGCAAATTTCAGTGCAAAGGGCACAAAACAATTTAGTTAATGAAATACAATTAGTGAATTAAAAAGGTGAAACGTTAAGATTTTATTATAATCAGATACTGCAGGAATGATGTTTTGTTGAGTTATTCATGCTGATAACTAATGTAGTTAAGAAAAGCTCTAAAATCCCAAGTTAAAAAAAAAACTCTCATAAGTGGCTCAGAAATGTCTGATTTCTGCTGGAAAAATATATAGAAACTCATTAAACTTATGCAAACTAAAGAATGAATTTTGTAATGTAGTTCTCTTGAATTTCAAAATTAGATCCACAAAAGTAAAAGTTTAGCATTCCTTTTAAGAATATGTTGTTAATAAATATATTTCTTAAGAAACACAGTGAAGTTTTTAAAATGATAACCTGTTTATTTAAACTGATTTTATATTCCAGCCTGAAAGTGCTATATATATAAATTTAGGAAAAAAACCTGGGCTATAAATTTAATCTTCAATAGTCTGTGTGGTTTTCCTAAAACCTAATTTTGTAAGTTGTTAAATTATACAAAATTGTGGAAAAGGTCTGCAATGCGATACAATTACCTTCTCTGAAGACAAAGCGAAAAGAAACAGACGTAAGTAAAAATATTAAAGATAAAAAGTTCAATGTAAAGACATACTCTGAAAAGGGGCAATACTTATCAACTTGCTAAGACAGGTGACAAATCATCCATTGTGTGTGTGTGTGTGTGTGTGTGTGTGTGTGTGTGTGTGTGTGTGTGTGTGAATGTGCGTGTATGTGTAACTGCCTTGTGTAGCTCAGTGTGCAAAGGAGATATAGTTAGTTTTTTTTTTTGGGGGGGGGGGACATGATAGCAATCATGTAATCGGTCTTTTGGTCTCTAAATAACACCATTTCGATTCCATCATTCACTCTTCCAGCAAAGTTGTTTCATTAAGGGAACAAATTTGTTTTGTGGTACCCTGTAGGCAATTCTTCACAGCTTGCTTCCTTGTTACCAAATTGTAAATCCAAAATTTTTTGGATGGCATTATTTTTTTGAGCTGTTCTCCAACTTACCTTTCTTACCTTATCACTTAATTGTAAATCTTTTCCTCCATTTCCGGGCATCCTGTGTGTGTCCGCAGTGACTTCTTTTTTGAACCAGCCCTGAATGTTATGTCAGTGTTCTGATTCTGTGGAGTCTTTTCCCTTACATACTAACATCCTCATTCTTCAAATTCCAGCTCAACTCCACCTTTCTCATGAGACTACTCCTCAAGTGACACCAATGATATTTTGACTACAGGTGTCAAGTTGTCATAGGATACATTTCTGTTTTCACTATTCAACTAAGATTTCACAAAAATTTAAAAAAAACATTTATTCTATTTGTACCTTCTAAAACATAATAGATAAACAATAAGCATTGGAATTAAAGCAGTGTTGATCAGCTTGTTATGCCAAAATCGTTTTCATAAACCAAGAAAAGTAAATATCAAAGTAAATTAGGTAATTTGAGCTCTGTCTGCAGGACAACAAGATATCTCTTAAGAACACCCTCACAAGATACCATGCAATATGCAGCCCCACTTCCAAATCAAAGATGGACTCCCAATGAAACTGTTGGACATATCTAGACAATGGGACACTGGACTGTCTGACATTGCCTGTACCAGCAATGTTGGGGTACACTTAAGTAAGAAACTGATGAAAGTACAACTTGTTATGAAGGACTATGCTTTTGTAGCAATATCGGGAAAATCAGTGAGGATGTGGGTGGGAATTTGAGGGAGTGGAATCCCAGAACCTACCTAATTGTGCCATAAAATTCAAACTTAAAAAAATTATTACATTTAAAAAAGGAATACCTTCACGGCCAAGTAATGTTGACTTATTGTCTTTATCATTATGTAGATATAGTAAATATTAGATACTTCATATGTCTGCCAGCCTATCATAACTATATGCAAAAAGTAGAGAAAGAATGAATACTTGTAGTATATTGCATAATTGCATCACACAAATTAAAGATTTCTGCATTTGTGCCTTTTCCATCATTTTTAATGTCCAGGCATATATGCATGATTTTAAATAGTTCTTGTTTTATTGCTAGAAAAAACTTTCCTACAATTTGATACTCCATCTTTATTTCAATACTACTGAAATTTAATGAAACCTTCAGATAATTGGTTAATAACAAGTCTGTTTCTACCAACAGAAAAATCAAGTAGTGTTGCCTGCTTTTTGGACTTTAAATTTCCTTATAATTGCTATTCCAGCTGTGTGACAACCCCATCTCAACAGGCTTTTATGTTGACAAAGATATCACATCCAAAGATGCCTGAGAATAATTTAAAGTTATTTTGTGATGTATAAGAAAGAAAAAAGTGAAATTTCTAAATTACTGTATGATCTTGAATAACTTGTGATTTAAAATACAACTCTTACATTAAATTAACAAATATGTGGGTATTTCAACCCATTTATGGAAAATATAATTAAATATACATTTACTTCAGTGTCAATTTTTAAGAGTCAATGTACTATTTCTCCATAGCATGCATTGTCTATAAATTTTGTTGAGTCTTAGAATAAGATGATATTTCACTGTTCCTGGCTCTCTGAAGACACATGTATTCAAATTGGCAAAATCTTTTGGGAAGACACATGTATTCAAATTGGCAAAATCTTTTGGGATATCCTCTTCCTGGGAAACAAGAAATCTCATGTGTATTAGAGTGCAGTATGGACCAGGAACCATTGACATGAGTAAACAGCAATGAATGAAAGAGGAAATAGAAAACTGCATGATACTCACATCAACAATAAGGAAGTCTAACCAGCACCAGGCATTGGTAAAATACATTTGAAAACCATACGCAACCCACTTTAAAAGCATCTCTAGGATGAATATATACGTGAACACCTTGTCAGCATATTCTAACATGGTCTTAATGGTTTTTCGCTGTTCAATGTAAATATCTTCAAAGGCCTGTAAGTGAACAAAAAAGCTATTGAATTTATTACCATAAACAGTCTCTCGGCTGTCTTGGCAGAGCAAATGATGCAAGTCTTCTGGTCGGGGCTTCAGGCTGCATGGCTTCATATTTCTCAAGACTGAATTTTACTTAAGTATTATTAACTGATTATTAACTGATTTTTATTAAGCATTATTAACTGATACCTGGGTATTTCAGTCAACCAAAGAATTCTAAAGGTTCATGGATTTTGTTATCAGCATATACCAAAAGATTGTGAAAATTTTGAGAGCTTGTCCACTAATTTTCTCTAATAGAACAAGAGGTAAAAAGTCATCTGAGATTCAATATTCTTTGCTCAACACAAGTACTAGGATGTGCTCCTCTTTGTACTGCAAATATAAAGTAATGAGGTCCCGCAGCTTGAGGGAAATGGAAAGGATTCTCATCTCACACACACACACACACCCCTCCCAAGCTGGGCGTGTGCACGTAGGTTTCCAAACTTCCACTCTCATATAGAGCTTTTGGGAAAGTACAGGAAACACATTGATGTGGACATCTGGATCTTTAGGAGTAAAAACACCACTTAAATTGAACTGAAGCCTCTTACAAGAAAAATGAGCAGGTAAGATTGGTGGCCTCAGTTAAAAACAGTGGAAATAATTCACTTTTAAAGAATAGTGGTATCCAGGTTTAAGACCATAGTTCAATGCAAACAGCTACAGGCTTTTGGGCCCAGCTTACAGCTGAAACGGGAATCTTCCTCAAGAATCAGATACTCCTCAGTCATGTTTGTGTGTCTTGGTGAACTTTCATGGGATACTAAGAACCAAAACCTGTTACAGGAAGCTCACTTATTATCCTGCAGAATTCCCTCTTTAATGGCAAGCGGACCCTCTGGGAATTAAGTGGCATGATGGAAGATTCGTTGTCAAACCAAAAGAGGGCTTACTGTCTTTCACACACAATGCAGTAGTTCTTTTAAAGGGACCAATTCACCACGCTCTCCAATAATTTAAAGGAGAAATTTAAAGAAGTACAGCCACATGTGAAAGTGAGTTGTGCCATTTTTTTTTACCACGTTTTTAAGTATTTTTGGTTGGTTATGGTGAACCAGTGTGAACAAGCCAAAATCTCTTGCAGCATGGAATTTATGTTCAACTGTTTGATATCTAACTGGCAATCCTTCATCATATCTGCATAGCCATTCTTTAAGAATTGTCTCTGGTGACCAAAAGTCAGCGAATTCCTCTTTTACATATTGCAAGAAATCATGCCATTCTCAGCTTGATTCCATCTAAGGAACATGCCAGGCAGTAATAAAAGGTGCTAGTTACCAATCTTCTCATTCTGCGGTGAATGCATCATACATACTGTCTCTCATTTTCATAAGCACTGTATCTCGAAACAGGGTAAAGTTTCTGGCAGGAAAGGGAGGGGTTTCAGGTGGAAGAGGAAGGAGCGTATCTCAGGTCACCTACCAGAGCCCCACTGCTGAGCAGAATCATGAAGACAATGAAGGTTTCAAACCAATTGTGCTCCACTATCTTATAGCAAGTTTTTCTCAGGTTCCACCAGAGTTTCCCTTTGCCTTCTTCTATGCTTATTTGACAGCACTTGAACTTCCGTACACAGTCTACGATATAGAGGAGTAAATAAAGAAAAAAAAGCCACTCAGTATGTGTGTGTATCCACGTATGTTGGTGAGAGAATCGGCTACATTATAAGATTATGACACATTCTGGATCACAGCTTTAAATTACAGCTACCACTTATAGGAATCAAGATTACCTGCTTTTTTTTTTTTTACATTATTTGTTTAATATTTATTTTTGGTAGGTTGAACTAATATAATTATTCTGTTATAATAACAAAAATATGAAGATAGAAAAATAGAGAAAATAAAAATTAACCAAGGCTGATATTTGTATCAGTACAGTATAATTATACTATGATTATTCTTCATGGACCCTACATGTATATTTGAATTCTAATTAGTCCAACTAATAACATTACATAAACATTTTCTGCATTATTACCAATAAATAAATGTATAAAATGTTTCACAATAGAAAAATGGGAAAATAAACCAAAAAATTCCTTAATTCTGTAAACAAGATTACTAAACTCCATTCCACTACTATTGAACATTTAAGTCGCTTCAGTTCCAGGCATCATCAGCCCAATGTAATAGGCAGCCTGCGGAATTCATGGACTGCTAGATAAGATGTTTTTCAGTCAGTATTAACTACTTGCTGTATTTGAAGGACTGTGCTGCACAAATTGCAACACTACAATGTGCAAGGTAAGACTTTTCCCCAAAAGAATGTACATTTTAAGTACAGATGATTTGCAACTTTAGTGATAGAAAAGGAAAAAAAATCACTAAATAAAGTATTGTAAACATGCATTATTCAAGTTTAATTTTTGAACTTTGTAGAAGACTATTTGGTGATGGGTATTGAAGATGTACAAACATCACATCCTGTGGGAAAGCATGTGGCAGTTAAGATGTCACTTTCTGATACAGAACATCAGAGTGTCTGGGTTTAAGTCCTTGTTCCATTCCTGATTACAGCTTCTTGACAAGGAACACCACAGGAGGCAGGAGGTGACAGCTGAAATACTGAATCCTGGATTTCTGGCTTTGGCCTGGACTGTTCCTAATCATTGAAGGTATTTGGATAATGTATTGATGGATGGAACATCTTTCTTTTCTTATGAAATAAAATCAAGATAAATAAAATTTCTTAAATTTTAAAAAAGTAATCACATGTAGAATATGAAGCTGTAAGAAAAATAACACAAGCAAAACCTAGTGGTTGGAAAAATTTATCAGTTGAGCAGAAAGAATTAGAAAAAAAGAGTAAAAATGTTGCCTAAATCCTGTGGTTTCAGATGGCTTGAAACATGACATTTTTATTACAATAGGCAATTGATCCATACCTCAGTACAGTCCTAACTTTCTTTAGATGATCATTTTGAGATTACCCCAATGACATGTTGTCCCACATAAAGCAACCCACAGTAAATTTTGACATTTTATTGTTTATTATCTGTTCAGAAATAACAGAAGACTTTGACCTTGAGCAATAGGAGCTGCTTCTGAAGGGCAGATTAAGTTTACACTTAACATTTCCTATAAAATGACAAAACAGTAAGTAATAAATGATTTTTTTCACTCATAAAATTTTAATTTCCATGTATTAAACATAAACAGTGATTTGAATGATTGGACCTTCTCTCCTGTTAGATATATTCTGGAAGGCTAGAGAACAGCTTGCTAGTTCCATGTCACAAAGTTGAACACGAGCCAAGAAAATAATACCTACTTACAAAAATTATGCCTAACCTTTTTTTTAAAGTCTGTTTAATTTTGATATAGAAAAGCAAACATCAGCAAGTAAATGCAAGTTTTTAGATGGTTAGCTTCAGCTGATTATGGATAGATGGGTCATTGGTACAGACAGAGGCTAGCTTGTGGATAATGCAGATGCATGGGTAAGAGGAACAGTCATGCACATCTGTGTGTTACCTACCTTCTGTAAAGCAGGCTTCAGGTTCAAGGGATTCTTCAGGTTCAGCTTCAGGTTGTTCTCCCTCGGCGGGAGCTCCAATATCCACAGTGCTGCCTTCTGATGAACTAGTTGCATTTAGCTTCTGAAAATCAACCCCACAGGAAAATGCTTAAATATTTTCCATAATGTAAATATAAGAATACATTAGAAGTGCCCCCTGTCTTCGGTATGCATTTTCTTCTTCTGTAATGTAAAAGTGACTTAAACATAAGGCCAGTCTGCTTTGGTAGAGGCGGGGGTCACAAGATTAGATACAGAAACAACACCATTTTGTTTTTTTTACCATATCATGCAAACAAGTGGAATCATTTTTATGTAAACCCATGTATAGAGATTCTAAAATAAAGGACCACAAAATTTTTGTTAGCTTCCAGAAACAGAGGATCTGGTGAGGTCAGATTATGATTCAGTTTGCAAACAGAATAAACAATTTTTTTCCTCTAAAATTGTGACCCAACCAAAGAAAGCTGCACAAGTGCATTTTCATGTCAAATGCAGAAAAGATTTGTTCAAATGCACATAAGAAGCAATAATCTAAATTAATCCACTTTTCATTGACATGAAAATGTTTTCCACCGGTTGTTATTAAATATATGCTAGAATTTTCTAATTCCAGAGAGAGCAGCCCATTGTTAGCTACATAGCAAGAGCTGATAAAACTTCGCATTCTCTTTGGCCAATGCACCCCTGTGCTGTATTGTGCATTAGGAAACTACTTGTTACTCTGGCACTCTTACCTGTCCTGAGAATATGACAGAAATTAGTCTTTCTACCATTTTATTTGTTTTCCTTTAGGTTAAATAAATTATCACCGAAAGAAACACACATTAGAAAGAAATCTCAAATCTTAAAAATCAATGAAGCTTAGCCAGGCCCTTCTTGGGATTAGCACAAATGGAGGTAACAGCCAAGCTTAAATTTGGTTTTTAAAGGACGCAACAATGATGTAGGGCCAGGTGTGAGTGCCGCATGGAATCAGAGTAGTTTGGGCCAGAGCATTCTCGAACCTGTCACAATGTTATTACCATTATTGTATAACATTAAGAAATGGCTGAGCTGACAAGAGGAAGGTTATAACCGCAATGAGGTAAGCACATGGCAAAAATGCACACGGAAGTATGTTAAACTGGAATAAAATGGATGCTGTTGTCAGTACTGGAAATATTCTATTCATTTGTAGGCTAAGGATTATATGAATTTTTTACTTGGAAGATGGTTTGTTTTATGAAAATAATTTTCACTCTATAAAATATTTACATCATTGAGTAGCACCAATAAACTGAAACCATTTATATTAGGTAACATATTTATGAGAATGAAAATGCTTTTGTCCCAGATAATCTAATAATATTATGTTAGAAACATAAACAATAGATATTTCTGCCTTAGTAATATTAATTTGGGGATTAATTTGTAATTTAGTCAATAGTTAACTCAAATACTGTATACAAGTTTCCCGAAGGTAGTTGGCTTTTTCTCTTCCTCAGGGTTTTCATAATCCTAGACAAATAGACAAATCCTAGACAAATAGTCATGTCTTTGTCAATAAATTTGAACATACTTTGCTATAAGATTAAACGTTAGAGTGAGAGATTTATTATAAAATTCAAATTTTTAGAATTTGCTATCGCTTATCTTTGGGAAAACTCTTAGACAATTACATATCTAATTATATATCTAAGTAATTGTCTGAGAAATTATTAAATATCCCTTCATTTCAATCTATCTAATTCATGAGAAGCTGCTACACATTGAGACTGGCCATATTGGTCTTCCCATTTGCAGGATGTTGAAACATAACACAGGTACATAGATGCATTAATGTTTGGTTGCATATGATTGCCTTATAGAGACCAGAGCTTGCACTCTCTTTTCAATAACTAACTACTTCTAATACCTCTATCTAACTTTTGATATAAGTGATATTCTCTGTATTTTAGGGCACCACAAATCCTCAAAGGTTCTGATTGTATAAGGAATCTTCATCTAAATGAGGCTGCAGATTATTCATGAGACTATGAGATAAACATAAGTTTAACTCTGAAAGCAGGGAGACTATTCTGGAATCATTCTAACATATTTAGTCTTTCTGCTTTGCATACAGGTATCCATAGTTTGAGTAGTAAATGGAACCTCTTTAAGGATAATCAGTCTCATCCTTCTTCATCTTGTTTAGGACCTGTGACATATGTAAAAGGTCTTCAAAATGTTCACATACATGAATAATATGGAAAACAGTGGATGGAGCTCAGCTTTTTGCATCAAAATAGACCTAACATTTTAATTTCAACATTTCATGTGTCTACTTTGCAGTATCCTCATACTACTCGAATATTGTTAATCATCTGGTACTTAAGATATAAGAATCTAAGTTGCCCTATCAACACATCAAGTTTCCATTTAGGGAAGGCTATTCAAGTCGAATCATCTATCAGTGATAGATGCATCAGTGAATCAGTAGTGAATCATAAGGAATCAGTGTTGGACTCTCGACCTTCTGCACCTCATATCTGCCACAATTCTCTAGAAGGTTTCTTTGATGATTCACAAGCAATCTCAAGTTTTATTAATATGAAGTTTTGTGGACTAGGCAAATATCACAAGGCATGTAATATTGTTCATTGACAAGTTTTATATTCATGAACTTTAGTATTTACTCAAGCTATTTTCATGATGCTCAGCTATTTTAATGTAATGGTAAATTCATGTTAGAATTATGTATTAACAAAGTTTACTTCAAATAATAATCCTGAGAAGTAGATAATAAGTACTCATTTAGAAAATTTTTCTTAATAACCTCAATTCAATGATTTTCTTTAAAGCACTTGAGAGAAAAATGTCATAACATTATGAAATGTGTCCCTAAAACAACTAAAATGTGTAAAAAGCCCATAAAAAGCACATGAAACAAGTCAAGGATATAAAAACCTTTAACTTCAGATAAGTTCATAGTTACAATCAACATAGTGGCAGGGAAATTCACAAATTAGAGTTTTCAAACGCATGTCATTATATAGCTCTATTAGCAATTCACACACTTACTGAGGAAGCTTCAAAGAAAATCCCAAACTGGGCCTCAATAACTATAAAGTGCTACATAAATAACATTTTGTACATAAATAGGAGAACAAAATGTAAACTGGCTATAAGTGGTTTAATAACCTTTAACTTTCCCTTTGGTAAATTGGAATGTTCAAGTTGTCTTTCCATTACCCGTACTTATTCATCTGGAAACATATACTAAAAATATTAGTTTAACATTTTTGCTGGAAACTTCTTCACATGGTAGATACTCTTTAATATGCTGAATTCCAAGTGGGAGGTAATCCCATTCACATGAAGTAAGCAGGAATGAATCACATGCTACCTAATAGTCTAATAAACTTCAAGATGCAATATTCCATTTTGTATTTTTTTAATACTGCACTTCAGATTTTACTCCATGTCGTGATGAATCAATACTAAACATTAATAGTACTTCCTTCAGGACCCTGGGCACTAGCCTAGCAGCTAAAATCCCCGCCTTAAATGTGCCAGGATCCCATATGGGCACCAGTTCTAATCCTGGCAGCCTCGCTTCCCATCCAGCTCCCTGCTTGTGGCCTGGGAAAGCAGTCAAGGACGGCCCAAAGCCTTGGGACCCTGCACCCATGTGGGAGACCTGGAAGAAGCTCTGGGCTCCTGGCTTTGGATTGGCTCAGCTGTGGCCATCGTGGTCACATTCGTGAGTGAACCATCAGACGCTAGATCTTTCTCTCTGTCTCACCTCCTCTCTGTATATCTGACATTCCGATAAAAAAAATAATAATAAAATAAATCTTTTAAAAAAAAGCACTAAAAAAAATAGCACTTCCTTCAGAAAGTAAACTAGGTATACAAAGGTAAATTATTTTTAAATATTCATAATAAAAAAGGAAAGTCTGATTTCCTATTAAGTTTTTCACAGGAACACTTGTTTCTCATGAATTTAAGACATTTTAAAACAAAACATGATTAGTGGGTCTGTTGGCGTGGCCTAGAGGCTGAAGTCCTCGCCTTGAATACCCCAGGATCCCATATGGGCGCCAGTTCTAATCCCGGCAGCCCCACTTCCCTTCCAGCTCCCTGCTTGTGGCCTGGGAAAGCAGTTGAGGACGGCCCAAAGCTTTGGGACCCTGCACCCATGTGGGGTACCCGAAGGAAGTTCCTGGATCCTGGCTTCGGAATGGCATAGTATCGGCCGTTGCGGCTCACTTGGGGAGTGAATCACTGGATGGAAGATCTTCCTCTCTCTCTCTCCTCCTCTCTATATATCTGACTTTGCAATAAAAAAAATCTTTATTAAAAAACATAATTAGTAAATGACATACAAAATTTAGAACAATATCTTTATTCCAAGCATAAATACTAAGAAATTGGGAATTTAATTTAAATAACTTTAGAAGGTAGATTAACCCAAATCTGCTCTGACAAGTCAGTCATTTTACATGAAAAATCGAGAAAAATTTCCTATAAGTACTACATTTTAATCAAAATAAAACTTTAGATTCAGGCATTCTGGCCCTTCCCGCTCCCCTTATCTTGGAAGTCAGCCTATCCATTTAGAGAGTGGACATTTTGTGACAATTTCTCAAAGAAATTTGAAATTTCAGTAGTTCGAAAGTTCAGAATAATGTGACCACACTGATTCCTCTTCAGTCTGTGTTTTTCCACTCTCCAGACAAATTTCCTGTAGTGGTGGATAGATAACTTACTGATTGTAATTTTGTCTCCTTTATCTTTCTACACACAAACTTGCAAAAATATTATGCTCAGATAAAAATAAAAGTAACTTTTGCTCTTTCCAAGGAACTTGGAAAATAAGCGATTATATTTTGATGAGTTACTTCAAACTAGGAAAAAAAAAAACACATTTTGTTCCTGTTTATACGTGTGCATCTGTAGTTAAGACTGAGCAAATATTGATTTTGAATTCCATTTATTTGAATCTATTCCTCAAAAATATAAAGCATTATGTTTCCTGAAAAAAATAGGACCTCTAACTGAATATTTTTTTCAATAGTATAAAGGAACATTCCAGGAACACCATAAGGATTGCTATTTTCAAAGAAGCGAAAAAAACAATTTGTCTCTCTCTCTATATATAAGTATATATAATTTGATTCACAGTTTTAATGGAAGAAGAGAGGAATTGTTATATAAATTACAACATACTTAATATTCTTTCTTTTTAGAAAGGATTAAATTTTCCCAAACCAACTGAATATTTGTGCATAAAGCTCTGATTTCAATACCAGAATATGCATGGAGCCCTAACTGGAGTCCTTAGCAGGACTGCTGTGAGTCAGAGGATAAGCAGTCTCCTTGTTTGAAATACAGTAATGCAGCAAGAGTTCTCCAGTTTCGTCCCTTACAGGTGTGAAGCGTGTGTGGTTAGACCTACTGAAGCAATATTATTCAGGAGAAAGTTTTTCAGTAGGTCTAGATGAAATTGAGTGTGAAACCCCATCAAGGACAAAGGATAAATTAGATGAAGAAGGTTGACTTGAAGAATGAGCACACCCTTTTCCTCTCCCTCTGTGTGAACAGAAGACAATTATTTTTTTCAGTCTAGGAGTTTTAAGGATAAATATAAGATAAATCTCCAAGGGAATCATATTCTAAATTCAAACTATTTTTGGCCAATTGCTAAATAAAGCAATATCATTTTTTCTCTAAAATGAAGCAGATAAAAATTATACTCACGCAGCTAGCAGCCAAGACAAACACGGCAATTCATTTACATATAGCACATTAAAACATCATTTAGGAATTTTACACATGAATAAGGGATTGCTTTAATCTGTGAATTTTTCTTCAGAAAATGATAGAATGGCATTAACCAGAAAAATTACCAGCAAGTACTTTCATTTGTGCTGTACTAAAAACGTAAAGGTAGGAGCAAGAAAACTTCTCTGAGAAAAATTTTTGTAATATCCCTGTTACTCCTTTGAGCCTTTAGCATTTTTCAAAATTTTGAAACACTACATGGAATTAAATAAATAATAAAGCCATGCACTTTTACTTTTCATTGAATACGACTTCTATTAAAATCTATGTAAGAAAATCAGCCGCTAAATCTTAAAAAGAAAAAAAAAAAAGAAAAGAAAGAAAGAAAGAAACTTAGGGTTGTCAAACTTGCCTGACCATGCTTCCTATGACTCAGCATAAGAGCAGCTGTGCATGTTCTTATTTTACTGCCAATGGATGGGCAAGGAACATAGCTGAGTAACATGCAGGCCAGTCAAAAGTCATTTAGAAATTGATTATATTGATATATGCACAACTTGCTTGGGTAACCTGGATAAAAGTGGTGGCACGAGCCTCTGACTTGTTAAAAAACACCAGAGCTGTATTCTTGATGGCTCCAGCTTGATTTTACCCCTGTGAGAAGTAAGAATGGTAAGCAGTGAAGGTCACCATTATTGCACTATTCAATTTTACTTCGAAAAATAATTATTCAAGCATGGTTTCAATATTAATAAAAACTCTAAAAGTGAAATCAGTCATAATTATGCTAAGTATAGTCAAAATAACATAAAAGAGTTAAAGCATATAGTGTTATGACATGAATCTTAAATGATACACTGTAGATAATATATAGAAAGATACAAAAAAAATCACACAGACATAGGAAAACACCAGCAAACCTGAGTCCACTCAGCTAAAATGCCTCATAAAACAAGAAATGCACTTAAATATTGCAAAATAGAAACTGAATAATTTTCTCTTTAACAGTAAAAATCACATAAAGGAATAGTAATAAGACTCATTTTCTTTCTTGCTTACTAATTCAATATTTTACACTCAACCCATCTAGCAAAATCCCATCCAACCAATCAAAAAATGGTCAAACAAAAATTAACAGAAGGCAAATACTGAAAAACATATTTTTCAAGGGGAGAGTTTTAAATTCTTGGAAAGTTATTTTGATTCTGGTTTATTTTATAGTGTAAAGTCACAAAATAAAACTCTACAAAATTAAAATCTAAAAATTTTCTTGATCAGCCAGTTAACACAATCCTTTCTTTGTTTACAAATTTATATCTAGAAAGTTTGCTATAATGCCATTAAATTAATCATTTTCCAAGTATCAACTTTAACATCAAGGTAGCTAATTGACTCTAGCATTTGATTCTTTATAATTATAATTCTTAGTTTATATAGCACACTAAATATTCTATATGGGAAAAATCTACATTTAGATACAATGCCAAAAGACTAAGAAGACAATACATATTAAAATTCTATTTTCTAAATGCTGACTTTAGCTATTTAAGTATAATAGAGGAAATCAGATCCAATCTTTTCATCATTATATTCTTTTAAAATTTTATTGTCAAGTTTGCCACATTATTATTACACCTTTAAAAAAATGCTAGTTCAGTTAATAAAAATGTGAGTTCAACTAACTTCAGTAATTCTTTTCTCCAAGCTATGGTCTACTATTTCATCACTGAATGTCTTCAATTATGTGTTAAACTAGTATCTCTTATCCTTTCACTTATATTTTAATATTTAGCACCAGTGTTTAAGCAGTTTTAATTTAATGTTAAATATCTATCTATATAACAACTTATAAAGAGCAAGTTTACCCCAAAACAAAGATAGAATGCAGATTATTCTTGAATAATGTTTTGAAGTACATAAAATCATACTGTCTGAAAGATCCAGAGTGCTCTTCTTAAAAATATGCTATCCTTGAAATTATAATTTACCTGAAATTCTCATGAGAACAGATTAAAAATTATGCCAAATTACTTAAGTTTTGTACTACTCTGTACCAAATTGCCACATCATCTGTCTTAATGTAAGAACAGTCATGAAGAGCTTCGTCTTCCTGCCAAGCATTTCCAATGAAAAGGGGCAAACCTTTGCTGTGAACGTCTATCTTTGTTAATGTAAGAATTTGTTACTAAGCATCTTAATTTCATTTTTATAGAGTTAAAAATCCCCACGGTAAGATATTTAATTCACCTCTCTCTGTTGTAACTCAGCACCTACTAATCTACAGGTTAATACAAACAAGACAAACCACAAACATTGTCTAGCTCACATTCTGTAAAACAAAGGATACCTTATGTTACCAGAATATGGCTGTCTATTGACCTGATGAATACAGAATTTTGCATCCTTCAATGTATTGAAGTTTTCTTTTTGTTTAAACAGCATGCTTATTAGGATAAAAATATTTGTAACATGATTTTTTGTCACTACTTCTATTCCTTAAAAAATTGCTTCAGTAAACAGAACACTGCACATAGATATCAAGCCAACACCCCAATCAGATTTCCATAAGTTATTATGCCTGTGCAAGCTAAATAACATAATGCTTTATTAAACATTTCATAAAAGACAAAAATGTACAAGCAAGGCATTTTTGCAAATCTAAAATCATTTTAATGTATTTGGGAAATTTCACATTAGTCTACGCTATTATCAAGGATACCAAGCAATGAATATTTGAAAAAATAAGACACATCTTATATTTGCATATATTTTAATCTGTCATCAATGTACTAATTTACTACTTTGCCACTGAAAAGATGCCAATAGATATTTTCTTAATCTTCTGGAAAGGAAGCATACAACTTAAGAGCATCTAATAATTTTAAAGTAATAGAAGTGTAGAATTGCAAAAATACCTCCTTATTTTAAAATTCCTACCTCTTTGCTTTCTTCCATATCTGATTCACTGCTGAATTCTTCAGTATTCAAGTTTTCAAAGTCAGATTCCCCAACAGCAATTGGTACTGTCACCGTGAGGCTGGGGTTGTTTATAAATGACATGTAATCACTTTCGTCCACGACATACTTCTCCACGCTGCTGCCTATGCCACTGGTAGTGCCATTTCCGTCTTTGAGATAGTTAAGATCCTTGCCTATTTCTATGGTGGTATGGTTGGAAATGCAGCTGTCTTTTTTGTTATTTAGATCTTCAAGAGGTTTAATTTCATCTAGAGCTTTCTGCTTTCTAACAAAAGCTTTCTGAATAAATTCACGTATTTTTCTTTTAACAAAATCAATTCCTTTCTGCATCCTTCCCACAGCAATCTGGAGGTTGTTCATTTCATTATCATCATCAGTGGCAGCAAGGTTGTCAGAGCTGAAGGAACTTAAGAGCAAGGCCAGAAACAGGTTCAGAACCTAAAAGAGAGTACGAACAGGCAATCACAGACTCTGTCATTTGAATCGTTCTAACTGAATCTCCTAAAGCATTCCTACAACTTACTGTATGTTAAGGATTTTTTTTTCTAGTTAATGATGAACAGTCCTCAAAAATGAAAGAATTTAAAAATACCTGATCAATATATCAGATCTTGTCATTGCAAAATCCTGAGGCCATCATTGCATAGAATCGATATTGATCAGGTATTTTTAGTACCATGAATAGGACCACAAATTTTTCTGTAAACTGGGCTTCCACAAATTGGTCTTAGTGATATGAGTGAAAGGTTTGGTGATGAGAAATCATTGTGAGAATTCAGAAGGAGGTAATTTTCTAAAGAGTCAGTCATTCCCAGGGATACAGGATTAAGTCATATATTTTTTCAGGATTTGACAGATAGTATTCATGATTCCCTGGTTATTGAAGCACACAGAATAAAAGAAGGTTACTAACAGGAAAGTTGGGCAAACGCATATAAACAGAACAGAGGTATCAAAGAATCCTGGGGAAAAAATTAAGTAAAATTCCAATAGAAACGATGCTGCATTCTGCTCTATTGATATCTTTCTATTAAGCTACTGACGCTTAACTTTTCCTTTGTGTGAAAGTAGTAGGTTAGGTTAAACAATGGTGATTAAATAAACAAAAGTAAGAAAAGGGCAGAGATCCAGAGCAGTGATTTAGATGATGCTTGAAATGTCTGTATTCTATATCAGAGTTCTTGAATTTAAGTCCTGGCTTTGTTTCAGATTCCAGCTTCCTGCTCAAATTATGCCACCCATGTCAGATTAACACTGGCATCCAGACATCTGTTTTCAGCCTGACCCAGTAACAACTGCTGTGAACAATGGAGGAGTGAATCAGCAATTGAAAAATCTATGTCTGTATCTTTATCTTTCTTTTTTTTTTTTAAGATTTATTTATTACTTTTATCAGAAAGGCAGATATACAGAGAGGAGGACAGACAGAGAGGAAGATCTTCCTTCCGATGGTTCACTCCCCAAGCGGCCGCAACGGCTAGAGCTGAGCCAATCCAAAGCCAGGAGCCTGGAACTTCTTCCAGGTCTCCCACATGGGTGCAGGGTCCCAAGGCTTTGGGCCATCCTTGACTGTTTTCCCAGGCCACAAGCAGGGAGCTGGATGGGCAGTGAGGCTGTCAGGATTAGAACTGGCAGCCATATGGGATCCGGGCACATGCAAGGCGAGGACTTTAGCCACTAAGCTATTGCGCCAGGCCCTGTATATTTACTTTTTAAATAAATAATTGCAAATAAATTAACATTTACAAATGATAAAAATATATAAAATTCAACAAGGACTGCAAATACTTTTGAAAGATTTTAGTGACCCATCCAAGAATCCCTATGTGATAGCACCTGATTATACTAAGTCATCATTTACTTCTGCAAGTTTTTTTTTTCCAGGATAAAATTATTTTATTTTGATTTACCTTTGTGTAGATGAAAGAGATAAAAGAAGGAAAATAAAATTAAATATTACATTTCATTTTTATATATAATGAAATAAATTTTTGCTCTTGAGTACTTCCTTGATTTATTTCCCTAAAATGTATTCATGTTAATTAAAGTTTGTTAATTAATCCTTATTTATTAAGTGAATTTTTCCTGTTATCTGTCAGTCAGAACTCCTAGTATGAGATCTAGTCACTATTGCTTTAATGTACTGGGCAAGTCACTCTACTTATAAAGTAATTTATTCTTCTGTTTATTTGGCTTGTTCCCCTTTCTCATCCTGTCTTTGCTAATTCCTTCACTCTCATCTCTATCACATTGTATTAGATTCTTTTTGCTGATAGAGTGGAAGCTTTTTAGGTCAGAAACATGCTTTAAAGAGTCATATCCTAAAGCAATATTGATAATTAAAGAAAGAATGAAAGTAGCTCTTTGTGAGCATCTGGTTTATGCTAACATTTTACAAGATTCAGATGACTTAAAACTTACAGCAGTTTCACAAAGCAGGACTTATTATTTATAGGTAAGAAGACTGGAGATTCTGTAAGGCTTTACTTGTTTAAGATCACACTTAATCACTAGGAAAGGTGGGCCAGCATTGTGGTGCAGCAAGTACAGCCCAACCTGAGACCATTTGGTCTCAGCTGTTCTTTCTCCCCAGCTTCCTGCTAATGGCCTGCAAAAAGTAGAAAAAGATGGCCAAGTGCTTGGGTCTCTCCCAGCCATGTGAGAGACCTGGATGAAGTTCCTGGCTCTGGGCTTTGGCCTGACCCAGCTACAGCTATTGCAGATACCTTGGAAGTGAACCAACGAATGGAAGATCTCTGTCTCTCCCTCATTTGCTGTAACTTCTTCAAATAAATAGAATATAAAAAATTAGAGAAGCTGTGTCATTTTGATAATACGATTTTGTGATGTTTGTTCTTGTTATGGTTACAGGATGAATAAGGAAACAGTCTTTCATTTCCACCTTGTTTGATGATTGTTTTCTGTTAGTATTGTCAGTGTCATTACGGTTATTTTTCATTTTTACTGCTCATATAATATATCATGAATTGATAACTTACTACTTACTCCACTGTTCTCCCCTTGTCAGGAAAAAATATTCAATGAAAATGACCTTTTTATGCCATCAATACACATGTGTGATTTTTTTAAGAGATAAGAGTTACAGCACAATAAGCTAAGCTGTTGCTTGCAACACCCACATCTCATTTGAGTGGTGGTTTGAGTCCTGGTCCCTCAGCTCTCTATTTCGTTTTTTCTGGTGGCACTTTGGAAGACAGTAGAGGATGGCATAGTGCTTGGGTTCCTGTTAGTCTTGTGGAAGACCAGGATGAAATTCTTGGCTCCAGACTTCAGCCTTTCTCAGATTTTGCTCTTGTATACATTTGAATGTGAGTCAGTAGACATAAGATGGATCTCTCAATCTCTCTCTCCAACCCCTCTTCTCCACTTCATTTTTTAAATGAGTAAATAGATAAAACTTTTCTTAAAATAACTGTTAGAAACTAATTTCTATCAGGGTATTTATTATATATATATATTTCTTTCTTTTTTTTGAAAAATGAGGAACATATTTCAAGGTTAATGGGCAGGCTAAAAATCAAGTTTCTAATACTCATTAATCATATGATTCTAGATAAATAGCACAACTAATATGAGCCTCTGTCTCTTTGTTTGTAAAACAAACATGGTAATTTTACCAGAGACAGCTGACATGTCTGGTTTAGGGAATCAGTGAAAGAATCTGCATGGTTCCCAGCACAGTTCTCAGACCATGATGAACCTAGTGGTTTTCATTATCCTTCATTCCATCCAACCTATCTTGTGCTCCACCATCTCCCTATTCACATTATTTTTCTAGATACCTCTGTGTGTGTAGACTAAGCTAATCTTCACTTAGGCTTCTTTTGACACTACAGGGTATCTGTATAACCTCTTGCCCAGGCGCTGGTGGTATCCATGGCAAATTAAGAACACAGAGTTCAGGAGGAGGTGTTTGGCCTCGCAGTTGAGATGTTGGTTAGGATGCTGACTTGTTTTCTACGCGAGAGACCAGGGGATCAATACCTGCTTTGGCTTCTGAACAACTTCCTCCTAATCCATCCCTTGGTGATAGTGGTGACAGCTGAACTAATTAATTGGGTTCTTGCCACATATGTGGAGACCTGGATTGAGCCTCTGGGTGATGCAGTCAGCCAGGCCCAGGACTGGCCACTGCAGACATTTGGGGGAGTAATTAAGTGAATAAGACTCTTTCTCTCTCTCATTCTCTGATATACATACCTGATAGCTTTGAAAGTTTCTTTTAATTTGAATTTTATATACTGTAGTATATCAGAGAGATGTGCTTTACTTCAGCAAACTAACAGACAATATGGGGTAGGTTGGTGTTTTTCCTCTTTAAATATCTGCACATTGGGGCCCGGCGCGATGGCACAGTGATTAAGGTCCTTGCCTTGCACGCCCCCAGGATCTCATATGGGCGCCAGTTCTAATCCCGGCAGCCCCGCTTTCCTTCCAGCTCCCTGCCTGTGGCCCAGGAAAGCAGTCGAGGACGGCCCAAAGCTTTGAGACCCTGCACCTGCGCGGGAGACCCGGAAGAGGCTCCTGGCTTCGGATGGGCATAGTATCGGCCATTGCGCTCACTTGGGGAGTGAATCATCGGATGGAAGATCTTCCTCTCTGTCTCTCCTCTCTGTATATCCGCCTTTCCAATAAAAAAATAATAAAAATAAGTCTTTAAAAAAAATATCTGCACATTGTCCTGCTCCCTAAATTTTATCAAAATATCTGTTTCTAATTATCAATTCCTGATCAAAATCCATTTGCAAGTTTGAATTGCCTTAGTTATGCTTTGACTTAATTATGCATGGCCAGCCTTTTCACAAATTAGTCCCTTCAAAGTCCAGCCCCAAACTTCATGTTTTGCTTTTCTCCCAGAACTGCCTCTTGCTGTCTGCTCGCTCACTGGGGGTGAAGGATATTTTTCTCTGCCTTCTCTTCTTCAAATATGTCCCCAACAAGTGTAAGCTGTGAAATCAAACCCAGAATATACGCTTATGATTGTCTGTTTCTGTTCTATGCAATTCTTGTCTTCTGAAAACAAGAATTCTAAAGTTTTATTGTAGGTTGTAGTTTAAAAACATATAAAAGAACAGCCATGAACATGGTGTAACTGGTATCACTTTTATACAATATATCTACGTATTTTTAATGTATATCAAGTAGTGGGATTGCTGGATTATATGGCAATTCTATTTCTAGAGATTTTTAAAATTATTAACTTGAAAGGCAAAGGGGAGAGAGATTTCCAGTTCTCGGATTCAGTTCCCAGACATGCTGATCACAACACCTGGGGTGAGGTTTGTTCCAAGCCAGAAGCCAAAACTTTCATCTGTGCCTCCTTTGTCAGTGCCAAGAATCCAAGTAATTGGAACATCATCCATTGTCTTCTCAGGTATGTTGGTAAGGAACTGGATTGGAACAATTTTATCTGGGACTTGAATCAATATGGGAAAAGCACTTTCAAAGCTGTGATTCAACTCACTATGCCATTTTACTTGCCACTAATTTTAGGTTTTAAAGGAATCTCTACACTGTTTTCTGTAGTGGCCGTATTAATTTAGATGGCAGCATTATTCACGATAGGAAAAGATGTGAAATCAAGCACATTGTGTTACTGACCCAACAAAACAATTTGTAGACACCAATACTCCATGTGCTTTTAACAAGCTTTTTAACTCAAATATACAAGAAAAACAATTTTCAAATATTTTCAAGTGATACTATTGTTAGTTTTACGAAGGAGTCACTATTCTTATTATACATCTCAACGTTAGTGTAAGAACTAAATGTAATCTAGAAGTTCTATTTTCCATAGAATAACAAAGAGCATGATCGAAAAGTACAAATTGGATTCTGAAGGTATCTTGTGTTTGTCTTAATCATCTAAACCATTTCTGCCTCTGTCAATATGAATTGTGAAGAATTAGAAATAGACTGGAAAGAAAACTATAAACAACATATAACACCTTCAGTTAAACATCCTTTGTCATGGTTACATTATCTATCATTGAAAAACGAAGAAAATATTTTTTACTACATACCACTAGGTTTCCGATCACCATGACCATCATGAAGACAGTAAGGCACATGGTTTGACCAGCGACCTCCATACAGTCCCACATGGTCTCTATCCACTCTCCACACAGCACACGGAACACGATCAGGAAGGAGTGAAAGAAGTCATGCATGTGCCAGCGGGGAAGTTCACAATCACTGGAGATCTTGCAGACACATTCTTTGTAGCTCTTACCAAAGAGCTGCATGCCGACCACGGCAAAAATGAAGACAATGATGGCCAACACCAAGGTGAGATTTCCCAGAGCCCCCACGGAATTGCCAATGATCTTAATCAGCATATTTAGTGTGGGCCAGGACTTTGCCAACTTGAAAACTCTGAGCTGAAAACAGAAACAAGATGACTATTAATGTCTTGCATTTCTGAAGAATCTACTCTTTTATAGGGAAAATTTGTAGTATTAATAATCTCAGGGGTAGACTAAGAAGAGGTTGTTTATATGCCAAACTACTAGCAAATGCAGCAGTTACCTGAACCTCATAGAGTATTTAAATCCATAAACAGCTTTACTATAAATGTAATAAATTATAGTATACAAGTTTTTAAATGCCAAAGTTTCTAGAATCCTGCAGATACATTTGCCTTATCTTTTTTTTCTTCAAAGGACTGGGGAATTTGAGATTACTTGTGGTTAATTAGCACCTATTCTATTACACAAAAGTTGAGGTATTCATTTATTTATTATTTAAACATTTTATTTATGAGGCTGGCATTGTTACATAGCCAGTAAAACCTGCAATTCCAGCATCCAAAATGAAAACTGACTACGTTCCTGGCTGCTCTATTTCCTATTCAACTCCCTGCTATAGGCCTGGGAAAAGCAGTAGCAGATAGCCCAGGTGTTTGAACCCCCACCACCCACATGGGAGACCCAGATGAATCTCCTGGCTGCTGGCTTCAGCCTGTGGCCAACTGTGCAGTTAGTCAATAGACGATTTCTCACTCTGTCTATCTCTCTGTCTCTGAAATTCTGAGTTTCAAAATAAATAAATCTGCAATAAGTAAGTTAAATTTTTATTTATTTATTTAAAATACAGGGTGACTCTTGAACACAGATCACTTCTTAAATGTGTTTAATAACGTGGCTTGGGGTTGATTAAGGCCATAAACCGGAGTTCAATCCAGTCCTCTCACATGAGAGGAAGCAATTCCATTACTTGTACGATCAACCCTCCCAGGGTCTGCATTAGAATTTCTCATATTCAATTTCAAAATATTTTTTTTCCTGTGTAGTTGAAATTCATGCTAAATGCCACACGTGCAAATAATATCAACACTTAAATTATGTGAGTGTAAGAAGAAAAACAAACTTCTCTAAGTCTTCTAATTACTGTAACTATATCTTTTAATTTGCTGTAATGCTAGACTATTTTTAAAAGATCTATTATGTTTGCAGAAGAAACACTTCAACTTCAGTAAAAAGTTGCACATTTTCAATATTTATGTGACTTAATTAATATACTCATTATGCTGTGTAAATGGCCTTCTGCCACCGTGTTTGATACATTGGCTGTAATATTATAAAGGCCTCCCAAGTGCCATTGGTATTTAAACAGCAGCAGCACTTTATTTCTGATGTTTCAGTAAATGTCAAGCCGAGAGTAGCACATTGTTTAATGGCCTCTAAGTGACCCAAAGCAGCAAATATAAGATTCAATGTGTTTCATTTATTCCCAGGGAAAAATTTATGCAAAGAACCCTCAAACACTATGTAAAAACTAAATACATGCTTCCTTTTTCCCCAAACATACTTCACATAACCACGAACATTTGCTAAACATTTTAAAAAATGGTTGCCAATGCATTTCGTATAATCATTTTTCATTTTTGTTGCAGTTCATGCATCCTTATAGTTTTACATTAGATATATGCTATCCTTGAAGTAAAAAGATCATAATTACTTAAAATTCATCTTTCAACTTTCAAAGTTGTAGGAGAAATTTTAAATTTCACAAAAAATCTGGTGAGTTCTCAACATTAAGATAAATCACATAGTAATTTGTGTTTGGTAATCATAATCAGCCTCTTCTTTAAAAATTGCAAAAAGTTATAGCCAATTTATGATACAATGAAATGTACCAAATTGCAGTGGACATATGCCAAATGAAATTTTGTACCTTAGCTTTGAAACACCTCAAAATTTACAAAACACAAAGATTAATGAAATATATTTACTTAAAAAGTGACAAAATACATTATTGGTAACTATTCACAGAGCAGGTTTGGTGACTTTTCAGTTTGATTGAAGGAGCAGATGTATGTGGAGTTCTGTTTGTTTATCCTCCCCTCAACTGAAATCTTTTCCTGAGCCCCTACCAGAAAGAGGGAGCCCATATTGGCTCCTGATGAAGCCTTGGGCATAATGTCACAAAGCAAACATAACTGACTGGCAGCTGTGGTATCCTTAGTTGTGAATTGTCTGTGACTTCCTGTTACTTCCTTTCCATTGTACCTATCAATTAATAAGGAGAAAATTATTCACTGCTCATTTGACTAAATTTAACATGTTTATTAAAGTTACAGTGTAGAAGAGCATTTAGTCCTAGCACTTAAGCCACTGTCTAGGATACCTGTGTTCTACATCAGTGTTCCTGGGTTTGAACCAAGGCCTAGCCCAAAATTCCAGTTTCCTACAAAAGTGCACCCTTGCAGCAGCAGATGGCTCAAGTGTCTGGGTCTCTGGAACCCATATGGGAGATTTGGATTGAACTTGTGATCCCTGGCTTTTACACCCCAAATTAAAGCTGCAGGCATTCTGACAATGAACAAGTAGAGAATGTCTCTCACACACATTCCTTTCTCTCTTTCTTCCTCCCTAACTCCCATCCTTTCTCTGTCTCTCTGACTCTCCAAAGAAGAAGAAGAAGAAAAAGACTATCAGGTGCAACAACAGATTTGCTTAAAAATGAATTCAAATAAAATTGTAATTGTGTGAAATTTTGTTATAAAATATGAAGACTAAATAAATAACTCGTGACAATACATCAGACATTTCCAGTTACTTTACCAGACGAAATGATCGAAGAACGGACAACCCTTCCACATTGGCTAAACCGAGTTCCATTAAACTAAGGCTCACAATAAAACCATCAAAAATATTCCAGCCTTCTTGAAAGTAATAATATGGGTCCATGGCAATGATCTTGAGAAACATTTCTGCAGTGAAGATCCCAGTGAAGACCTAAACAAGAAATGTATTTTATTGGATGAGTGAATAACATTGAAATGTAAATTACTACTGAGTAACTTAATATATTCCCAGAAAGCCAAAATGAAATATTGCTTTTAAAGACTGGTGTGTGATCAATGAATTGGTGTTCTCAAGTTCTTTGTATTCAAGTAAGTATTTAATATTTGATCATGTTAATCAATTAACAAAGAACACATGAATCAACGCAATAAAATTTAACAGCTATATTCTCATATGAAACAGGCATCTGACTTTTTGTGTGAGACTGCCTGGGGCTGTTTGTGATATCCCTAGCCCTCCAAACACTTACGAAATGAACAGTTAGCAATTTAGACTTCAGTCATCGAGCACAGTGGATTGGTCCCCTCTGGTGACTGTGCAGAGGGTCACTAGGATGCTCATGGAGCCTGAAATTCACATTGTTACCACTAGCCTTACCAATGATAAGATTGTTTTAAGTTTTTTTATTTTTCCAGCCAAAGGGAGGCAGCTTTTTCCATCACAACAAACTTTTCCAAACTCTCTGTGTCATCCTAGCCTCAACTTTTTTTTTTTTTCCTACTGCACTCTGCTTCAACACTCTTGCCTTTCACAGGTAATGGAACTCAGCCAGTCTGGGATATTTCCTTTTATTCACTGACCTTGTATAGCTCTTTCTATATCTAGATTTTCCCTCCTTGTTAAAATGAAAGAAGTGCTCCTGTTTTGAGCTAATCTCTCTCCAATTGTGTTATGCATCTCCCTCGGACTTCACAAGAAATACATCATTTCATTTGATCTGTAGTTTCAACCTGTTCCTCCTACTGGTTGTTAGACGGAAGCATTGGATCCGCAATCCTTTCTCCACCTTAAAAATGCCAGTTACTGTCATCACAGAAACTCTTCTTATTTTCCACACCCACATCCCTTTCTCTTTGCCACAATCCTTGCACCAAAACTCTGTAGGCAACTGTACTTTTCTATTTTCACTAGTTCCATTTTCTACAACTTCACAGTATTAGTCAATATAAACCACTTTAACTAACTTCACCAACATGGCTAACCCTCAGTCGATGTAATAGAAATTTGTGATAGTTATCTTACTTTTTCACATTGTTTTCTATTCCTTGTTCCAAGAAATATTTTCTGTCTTTCCCTTCTGTGATCCATTCAGCCTTGTTGGTTCCCAATTCCTCTAACAAATATTCCAATTTCTTTGAAACTCTGTCTAGGATCTTTGCACTCTAATGTTTTGTTTATGGCAAGTTAAGATTTTTATAACCCTTTGGCCTTTCGAGGTCTTTTTTTCAAGGATACCTCCTGAATTCCAGAATTACCTACTTACATGGTGATGCAGTGCTTCATTCAGATGGTTATTTCATGGGTTGCTAAAGCGCAACAAGTACAAAACTTACCTTCCCACTTTCTCTTTCATACTCGTAAGCTCAGAAAAATGACATTTCTCTACCTAGATGTCTGAGTTAGAAATCAGAGAAGCTTAGGGGCATCTTAAACACTTGACATTGAGGTTCATCCATGCGCACAGTATTCATTGTTTTTGTTGTTGAATAACTATAAATATCTTTCATATCTTTTCTAAGAAATCTTTGCCTGGTCAAAGGTGTTTCACTTTATCTTTTAATGGTTAATTTCACCGCTTGTAGAATAATGGACTAAATTTCTCTCTCTCTCTTCCTGTCTTGCCCTCTGAAACCAGGCCACTTTGTTCTGAGCTGAATTGTTTCAATGTGTGTAGGTTCCAGGCCACAAGTAGGGTAGCTACAAGGGAAGTGGATCAGCTGGGACATGAACCTGTGTCCATTTAGAATCCAGGTGCTTGCAAGGGCAGGATTAGTCAGTTGAGTTATTGTGCTGGATCTTCCCTGTATTGTTTGTGTTTGGTTTTGGTATAAAGGTAATTACTAGTAAAATGGATTAGGAAGTATCTCCTTCTCTTCCATTTTTTTGGAACATTTTGTTAGGAACTTCATTAAACATTTGGCAAATTTACCAGGGAAATTGTGTGGGCTTGTCTTTTCAGTTTGTATGTGTTGCGTGTTCAGTTTTTTCATAATCATTAATTCTGCACTTACTGTTTATTTCACGTCTATTCAGGTTTTCCATTTTTACTTTAGTAAATTTCATAGCTTGTCACGTCTAAGGAATTTCTTTTCTTTTTTTTTTTTTTTTTTTTTTTTTTTTATCTTAGGAAGTTTATTTCAGCGGGGCAGGAATAGGGGAAAGGGGGAGGAGGGGGAGAGCAAGGAAGAAGAGAGAGAACCGAGTGGGGCAGGAACAAGGGAAGGGGAGGGAAGGGAGGTAAGAAGGAGGAGAGAGAGGAAGAGCAGGGGAGAGGAACCAAGAAGAGAGAGCAAGAGCCAGGAATTTCTTTTCTTTCACCTAATTTGTTGGCATACATTTGTTTTTAGTATGGTTTATGTTCCATTTTTACTTATATTAATACTATGGTGATAGACCCTATTCATTCTTTTTTTTTTTTTTTTATTGTTGCTTACACTGTATTATGTAGTACAGTTTTATAGGCGCTGGGGATTCCCCCCACCCCTCCCCATACCCCTCCCCCCATGGTGGATTCCTCCACCTTGCTGCATAACCATAGTTCAAGTTCAGTTGAGATTCATTGCTTGCAAACACATGCCTAGCATAAAGTTCAGCGTCTTATTGTCCAGATAAGTTCAGTGGCCTCCTGGGGAGACCTTCTATGGTCTGAAGATAGGTCTAACAGAGTAAAGATCCGGTCGGTTAAAAGCCCCAACAAGGCCTCAGTATCAATATACAACATTATGGAATTAATTGACATAGTATTGGGTAAACAATATGTTAAAAATAATGCAAGTTCCATTCTTCGAAACATCTGGGTTGAGACAGCATCAATGACACGTTCAAAAAATAACAAACAACCAAACAATAAATTACAGGTTAAATCAAGGCAAACATGTGGTATCTAATCTTTTGGGATTCGCTCATTTCCCTTAGCATTATAGTTTCCAGTTGTGCCCATTTAGCCACAAAGAACTGCATTTTGTTTTTTTTTAATAGCTGAGTAGTATTCCATGGAGTAGATGAACCAAAGCTTTCTTATCCAATCTTCTATTAATGGGCATTTCGGTTGCTTCCATGTTTTTGCAATTACTGATTGTGCTGCAATGAACATAGGGATGCATGTTGGTTTGTCGTAAAACAGGTGTTTTGGATATATTCCTAGGAGTGCTACATCCAGAAACCTTCAAACTCTTGCAAGAAAATGTAGGAAATACACTGCAAGACCTAGGAGTAGGTTCCGACTTTCTAAGAAGGACACCAAAAGCAATAGCAGTTGAGAACAGAATAAACAAATGGGACCTCATCAAACTAAGAAGCTTCTGTACAGCAAGGGAAACAATCAACAAAGTAAAAAAGCAACCCACAGAGTGGGAGAAGATCTTTGCACACGATATAGGCGATAGGGGGCTAATTTCCAGGATATACAAAGAACTTCAAAACAACCAAAAAACCAAAACGAACAAGCCACTCAAGAAATGGGCAAGGGAAATGGGCAAACATTTCACAAAGGAACAAGTCCAAATGGCAAACAAACATATGAAAAAATGTTCCAGCTCCCTAGCAATAAGGGAAATCCAAATTAAAACATCGATGAGGTACCACCTAACACCAGTAAGATTGGCCCACATAAACAAGAACACCAACGACGCTTGCTGGCGAGGATGCGGGGAAAAGGGAACCCTACTCCACTGCTGGTGGAGCTGCAAATTGGTACAGCCTTTATGGAAATCAGTCTGGAGAACACTCAAACAACTCGGAATCTGCATGCCATATGACCCAGCAATAGGACCCTATTCATTCTTAATTTTAGTAACTCAAGTCTTCTCCCCTCCCGCCTTTGGCAGTATAGATTTCAATTCTGTAAAAAATTTTAAAGGACAGACTCTTGGTAATGTTCACTTATCTACAACTTTCTAGTCTTAATTCTTTCTTTCCTTCATAAATTTGAGTTTTGATTGCCCTTTTTTCCTGCTGATTTAAAGGGAAGATTGCATTACTTTTTGACAACAGACATATGCAGTTTTAATTTTTTCTCTAAACACTGTCCTCATAGATTTGATGTACCTTCATTTTTCCTGTATCATAAAATAAGTTATAATGTTTCTTATGACTTCTTAATTATTAAATTTCTTTGGTGGACAGTTGTTTAGATTCCACCTATCCTATATTTGTTATTGGTTCTAATTTAATTTAAGTTTTAACGTTAATCTTTTTAAGCTTATTGAGTTTTTAAAAATGACATAACATACAGCTTATCCTGGGAAACATTCTATATGTATTTTAAAAATAATGCACATGCTTCAACTATCTCTTTGGGTGCTCAATTATTTGTTTCAAATACAAATCTTACCTTTCTTGACACAAAATACAAATATCACATTCTCTAAAAAGTGTTTCTATCTTTCCAATATCAAGCCTGCTTTCTTCTGGTGATGGCATTCTATTTTTTTAAAGGAATTAATTTATTCAATCTCCAGGGATAAAACATGATCCTCATGTGAGTGATTATAACTCTAGAGTAGCTGCTGGTTTCTAAACCTCATTATTTTGGGGACAGATACAGTGGCATAGCAAGCTAATCCTCCACTTGAATTATGGGTGTCTGAAATGGGCATCAATTTGATTCCCAGCTGCTCCATTTCCAATTCATCTTTCTGCTTATGGCCTGTGAAATCAACAGAGGATAGCTCAAGTCCTTGGGCCCCTGCTCCCACGTGGGAGAGTCAGAAGAAGCTTCTGGCTCCTGGCTCCTGGCTCCTGGCTCCTGGCTTCGGATTGGCTCAATTCCAGCCATTGCAGACATTTGAGGAGTGCACTAGCAGATAGATCTCTCTTTTTCTCACTCTCTCTCTGTAAATCTGTCTTTCAAATAAAAATAAATAAGCTTAAACAAAAGATATTTCATTGTCTTTAACTGGGTTAACATTTTCAATTCCTGAAACTTAGTAAAAACTGCTAAATTAGGAGCACGATATTTCTGTTGAGCGATCCATGTTGATAGGATGATGCCAAGAATGGAAGACTACCCAGGAAGAAAGCAGGGAAACATTGAAAAACCTGGGGCAAGGAGCCAACACTCAATGACATTGGCTGAACCTCGAATCTTGCCAGGCTGAAACCTGAAGCCAGTTCCAAATGGAGTTTAGTTATCAGAAGTAATAAAGTCCCTTTACTTTTGCTTACACTCATCTGATTCATCTCCTAAGATGAATAAAAGCTTTCATGTTTCAAGTACCTCACAGTTATAGGGAAGTATAGTAAAATTATATATTTATAATGTTGAGGGAATGCCTAAACAGATGAAAATTTGGGCAAGATAACTTTTTGTGCTTTCCTTTTTAAACATTCTATGATTTGTAACTGCAGCATAAGGTAAGTAGTCTCTGAAAGAGCTATCAGAATCTCATCTAGATTTCTGAACTTTCTCATGGTCACAGTTTCCCCATTTACAAAATATAGGCAATCATACCAGCTGCCTTAGATACAACTTTATGGAACCCTCTGGGTATATGTCATATAGGCCATTTGGTCTAGTATCTGATACAAAATAAGTGATCAATAAATGCTAATTGTATAAATTGATTTAGTCATAAAATATTGAAAATAGAATTTTAAAATGTGGCTTTTAATTTATACCTCTAAGTGATAATGTTATACTTTAGAATATATTATTTATAATTTGCATGCAACCTGTTTGTTTATTTATCAAGTTGGGAGGTGCATGTTCATTTAGGCATTTGGTATTGATAGTGATATTTTTGTTGCATAATTTAACATATGGTTTCTCTGTATTTCCATTTGTTTATTTTTAAAATAAATTCATTTTAATTTTTACTTGGTAGAGTTACATTGATGGGTAGAAGTGGAGAGAGCTTCCATTTGCTAGTTCATGCCCCAAATGACAGCAGTGATGGGAAACCAGGCCATAACCAGGGAGCTGGATCAAAATGGAGAAACCAGGATTAGAACCAGTGCCCATTAGGGAGGCTGCAACTGTTGTCAGAGGATTGGTATGATAAGCTATTACACTAGCCCCTCTTATTTTATTTATATCACAGTAACATTTATCTAGTGAATGTTAGGACTTATCTTAAATGAGAATATAAGCAAAATTTATTATTTATAAATCCCTAATGTGGTAGAAATTATTTACATTGAAATAATATTTATTCATATAGGATTTCCTACCCAGAAATTTATCTAAAGATATTTTAAAATATTTCAAAATTATCTGGACTATCATATTTTTATGTCTGATGAATGCAGGACTCTCCTAAACAATCTGTTCTAAATACTTGAGAAATATGTCATATACAAATATCTTCCATAATTTATAATAATCTTTCAGATGAGTAATTTAAATTCAATTATAAGCAAAATTTTAAATAATGTTCATTATTTCCAATCCATGTTTCATAGCAGTTTTATATTAAAAAATGATGATAAACTTTTGATGTACAGTTGAATATATTAACATTTAATTTCAATTAGTTCATATTTAATTTCATGAAATTCACTAAAGTTAGCCTTACCAGATTTCCAACAGACAATACACTGCTGAACTGCTCTGTCATTGGATAGTGCTCCATGGCCATGAAGAGAGTATTTAAGACAATGCAGATGGTGATGGCCAGGTCAACAAAAGGGTCCATCACGACCAAGTTGACAAGATGCTTCACTTTTAGCCATGGTTTGCAGCAGTCCCAAATCAAGCACATGTTAGCAAACTTATACCAACAAGGTGGACATTTCTGTCTTGATTCTTCAAGTTCTGGAAAAAAAGAAGTTGGGATCTTCAGTAAAACCATTTGCTTTCTATAAGTAGTCATTGGCTTAAAATTAATTTGCAAAAAATTGTCAAGTTATGCTTTAATCTGATAATGATGCAGGGAAAAGTATCTCTGCTTTGGTCTATGTCATTGAGCAAGTGAGTACAGAATGTCTAGTCAACTTCACAAATATATCTGGGTCATACTTAGTTTCTAAGAATCTGCCAAATTATACTATCTGATAATTCTTCAGGGTCACAAGAAATTAACAGGTAGATATTAAATTTAGTGTACTTATTCATCCATGATTCAATGAAACAAGAGCATATATCAAAGTTTTTTTTTTTACAGGAAGTATGCCAGAAGCCTTAATCACTGATGCTGAATCCGTTTCTTAGATTAAATAGGGACTTTGTGGGGAAAAGAGAGGGGAAAATGTTTTAATGAGATAATTTTGTTAGTGTCATGGGTCTCAGTTATAAAGTCTTCCAATGAAGCCCCTTTAGACATAAGCTTGTTTGTTAGATTCAATTTGGTCCTTTCCCTGTATTTAACTGGAGGACACAAAAGAAGAGTAAATTGCCAATCTGAAAAGGAATGGTCCTCAATATGAGCATAAACACATTTCACAAAGTAGAATGCATGTACTATACATGTAAAATCCAATGGGATTTCAGTAGTAATATATAAAATAACAAATGCTCATGGTATGCATTGAAAATTCATGCATTGAATTTTATGTACTAAAATCTGTATTATATCAAGCCCATGATAAATACTTCTGTGTTAAAATATAGTCATTTCAAGAACGGTAACTAAATAAATAGGATTTAAAAAGAGAAATGAAAGAATCTTTAATGTGACGGCCAAAATTTGGTTCACATGACGAATGATTTTGGCGAATTGGGTATTGGAAAAGTGTCTGCCACTTTCCTTTGGCAACACAGTCGCCACTCATTGGGAAAAGAATGAAGAGTTGGTTGTTTCTGATAATAACATGGCTGTAAAGCCTGTCAGCTGCCTGCTAAACATGAGACCACCACTTTTTAGCAATGAAATGGAGAGTTTCTTCCTTTTTCATCCATGAAATAATTCCTCTTTATTGTTACTGTTGTAACAACTGGAATATTTCTCCATACCCACGATCATGATGAATTTAAAATTTGTGAGGACTATATCTGCATATGAAATTGACAATCACAAGTGTAGGTTACAATTGTTTGTTTTGCTAGTAAAAATATAACACAAGGTAATGCCATCTAGTTTAGTAATTCCCTAAAATAAATTAGTTTGCTATTTATTTTGCAACAGAATTACATTGGAAGTAGATTCTTCGGTTGTTTCTCTGGTATTGAAATTCTTGAAGCTTGGTATTTATTTACATTTTTTAAGCAACAAAATACTTGAGTTGTAAATTAGAGAAAAATACACATGTGATTTTTATACAGTATTTTGTATTTTATGACTCCACATAACTGCACAGTGATTCTCATGCTAAAAAGGAGATATGATTATTCATAGGATAAACCAAAAAGAACTCACAAAGTCTTACTTTGTATCCTGTCAGATAATTATTTGAATGCTAGCTGTTACTTAGTATATAAATAGAAACAAAAAATAATTGCACAGGAAACAAATCAGAGAAGTTCAAAAGAGAAAATTCAGCAGGTAGTGATCATCTTGAAACTGGGAAAAATCAAAGTTAAGTTCTAAAATAAAACCATACAATCATTTATTCTAAAAAAAAAAAAGCAAATCTTGTTCTTTGAAACAAAACAAAGCTCTGGGAACTACAGCCACTCCTCCATTAGTCCAAGTGGGCTTCTACACTAACTCATTTGCAGCTTAGTTCATGCCTTTTGCTGACTCACCCTGACCCTTTGGGTGATTCACTCCCAATATCATTCTCAAGGATATGGCCAAGAGATATTTCTGTATGGTTCTGAATTTTAAAAACAAAATCAAACCATTCAATTCTACTATTTTCTGCTATTTATTGCAACTTTTTGAAGTTTGAGGCTATTTGACTATCCCGGACAATGAAGACTTGGCTGTAGTTCAAAAGAAGGAAAACAAAAACTGCCAGCCGGATCAGCAAGCCTGGTTCATCAGAAGAGAATCTGAACTAAAACCATCATTAGACTTAGAAGAAACAATTCCCAAATAAACACATTATATCAAATAAGAAACCTTTCCACCGCTAGCAGAAATAACAGCAACAAAAAGGGGAACTGAATTAATGTTCTGGTGTGGTGTGTATGTGCTGAATACAGTTCATAACCAACCTTCACCAATACCACATTCTGAGTGTTTGAGCACAGTTACACGAAGAAAAGTCTGTTGGTTGTCTAAATCATAAGTTAAAGCAGCATGAAAACTCAGGCATTATCCCTCACAATAATACAAAGAACTTTGCAGACAAGTAAACAAAACACTTCCAGTCTGCTGTTTCCTATGCCTATTTATTCCTAGAAAAGATCAATTCCATGAGATGTGATTCCATGGAGGAATGTGTTGGCGCATTCATTTTAAACTTTGTGTCTTAATTAGTGGATAAGTCTGGTCTGTTGGCTATATGATGTGTTTTAAGTAACTTCTTATGTTAGCTCAAATTTAATGCTATTGGAAGTGCAAAGTATGACTGTTGATTTAGACTTACCCTGTCTCCTTCTCTACTTCCTGCTTTAAGAAGCAGACATGCTGCTGACATCGGTAGCAGAACCACTGGCAGCTTCCTCTCAGTGGTTTTGCTATGGCAAGGTGCAGAAGACCAGAGAATCTTCAAAACATTTACCTAGAGGGACAGGGAGGAGCAAGCTACTGGCAGCTGGGGGGGAGAGGGAGTGCAAGCTAACGCAGGCAAGGTTGGGGAAGAACGTACTCGAGTTTAATATTTTCTTGAATTCAGTGAAAAGATTTCTGATATTCTGCTAGATTATGAATATCGGGTCTTATAGTGCGGACTTGTTTGGGATGTGCATAGTAGTCTACACTGTGAGGTTTTTATAGCTGTGACTTTTCAGTTTTGGTACTGGTGTGAATATCATGGGATCTTTGCATTCAGATTGGAAAACAACTATTTGAAGTATCTACTCTGTGTCAAGAGTAACTGTAACCAACATTCTTTCTCTTGGCCTCATTGGTTTTTCTCATTCTCCTTTGACATAAACACAACAAACACATCTGTGGGAGGAGATGCAAGGGGGAGTTGTAAAAAAGGAAAGGGACGGAATACATTTGACATAAATGTAGGAAGGCAAACTAGAGAGGGAAGGGAAGAAGAGGGATAGGCAGAGCGTGGAACACATTTTACATGAAGCATGTCCAAGTAGTTGAAGTTGATCGTTGTTGCTTGAATTCACTTACAGTATGGAAAGGAAAAAACATGTGAATTAACAAAAATAACAATAATGGAGTAACAAATAATGACAATATTTATTGCCTTCTGTACACAAGATATGTAAGAGCTTTATATATGATATCTTATTGATCCTTACATCATCCTCACAGCTAAGCAACATTATCAACACTTCCATAATGAGGAAACTAAAAATCAGAGTCATAAAATAAGACATCTCATGTGGCAGAGTCAGGAACTTAACAAAGATCAAATCATTTCCAAAGTCTCTATTTTGGTATTATTCAATACACACTTCTAAATAGTAAACTACTCAGATAAAATCTGCAACTAAACAAAAAGTTGAAATACTGTACTATTCTAATCAGAAACAAACTATAGGATGGAAAAATTTTGAACACTTTACTTCATCAAGCTTAGTGTCAAATACTAATTTACAAATTTCATTGATTTTTTGATTAAATAAAGGAACTGTATAGCATATTTACCAGGCAGTTAACAGAATTCAAAATGGTTAGCACAGTCTTCATGACCTATACTAAACATGATAATGTTTTTATTGGCATGCACACAGGTTTCAAGAGTTTAGAACTTCAACTATTAAAGCAATATTCCAAATATACCTTGAACTTGCAGGAGCTTTCTGGAAGCTAAAAGTAAAACCCACACAAGACAGCTGAGTCTATGCTATTACACAGTAGATATCTAGTTATATGTGCTGTTAGGAAGCCTCCTCTTGGAACTTATGGGACATTTGTTTTCATCATGAACAGAGCTCAAATAGTTATGATATAAGGCTTTTGACATACCTTCCATGGTGTTGGTTAAAATACTCGCTATACTCATTGCTCTTTGCCTTGAATTGGGATCTTCCAACAAATCCATGGAAACATGATAAGAACTGGACCGTCGCTTTCTTATTTCTGTTTCAGTAGTTGTGCCCTAAAAATAAAATTTCAGGTTAAATAATCATTATTCTTGAGGACAGAAAAATGCAAAGCAATTCCCATTATGGGTGTTATTTGACTGAATGATGTCCTGTCTTCTCATATATAAACAGATGATTATATATGGCAAGAATAATCATTCCTGGACAGTATTTTTTAACAGATTCTCAGCTTTTGAAGATGGCTGGGTTTTCCAAAAAACTTCCTGTTCATGTGTCCTGGTGTTAGGATGGAGAGATCTTGTCTACTAACGCAGTATCTTTCAGCATTTCAGCACATCCTACCTACAATGTCTGACCAAAGCATTGTCCTTTGATTGATCTCTATTTCAGTCATTAAATCATTACAGACCTATTCATCTGGTTCAATACATAAAAAGCAACTAAATTTTTCTTTAGTAATTTTTTTCCCTGAAAAGTAAATTTCAGTGGTAAAGTGCTTGTTGATTAAAGATAGATCGTATTTCTCAACACCCCTCATAATGGAACTAAATTTAAGAACCCGACTATAACTTAGACTTACATTTGTAAAATAACTCCATCTACAAATGACCTATTCTTGACTTTGAAACTCCATGTAAGAAGAGAACGGCAAATTGGGGAACAGTTGGCTTGAGAGAAATTGAATTTTGGCAATGATACAATTATTTATTTCCTTCCCATATAAAGATGAATTTGCTAGGATTTTAATAAGAGCAGAAATGTATTCAAGAGATCTAATGATGGTGGATCTTTTGAATAAATTCTTGCATTCAATATTGTAAGCAAGAAGAATAAACTCAAATATTTTAAATTCAGTTCTTGTTGTTTACGACCAATGAGAAATCATCCTCAGTTTTCTGTGGACTTCCTCTATTTCTAATAAGCAAAATGAACGCTATTCTTCTATTTGGACCTTCTTGTGATGTGAGTCATTAGCATGAACTTAATCTTTACTAACTACAATACTCTATTACATATATATTCAAAACCAAAATTTTTCCACTAAGTTGATTCATTGTCACCAATTGTGATAAATATCCCTACAGGTCTCTTTAACTGTAATTATAAAGGAGAAGAGAGGTAAAATTGAGAAAAGAAAGCTTGAAAGCTTTCTGAAAATAACACTCCTTATATCAAAAAGGTGTCTTTTAGAACTCAAAGTGTTTTGGCTTGTGAGAGAGAGAGGCAATTTTGTTCCATTCTGTTTTTAATAGGGTCAGGTTATAGTCCACACAGTCTCTCCTGTTCTATACAGAACTGTGAGGACACTTCTGGAGCAGTTCAATTTCTAATGATAGTTTTCAAATCCATTTATGGTATTACTAAGGAAATTCTTAAGTTATATTGCCTCAGTTGAGTTTATGTGCAGAGTATAGTAAATGGCATGTTTTGGAATGTGTCATTTGTCTGTAGCTATTTAGTTTTCATTCTCATTTTCTGTTTGCAGTCCTCCAAAGCAGCCTCATTTTGTCCGTACCTACAGCTCATTCTGGACAGCAATGTAGTGTCCTGCCTCAAGAGGGATCACACCAAGTTTGGCATCAAATCTGCCCCAACTTTTTCTTCAGAGATATGTCCCATCCTCTCTTTTAGGACAAAAGACTTATGATGATTACTGGTAGTGTCTGATAGACTGGCATTCTTTTTGTGTTGATGCAAAGAAGTGACGGATTTTTTGTTTGTTTGTTTGCTTAATAATATATGTGAGAATTAATCTGGATTTTTTTTTATTATGACTAAGAGCCATGTGGGTGTACATGTGAAGGACAGAGATCCCCAGATATTGCTCTCAATCTGAGTAGGCTTGAGTGGCCCAGGGATCTCCATATTCTAGGAGCATTCCAGGAGATTGTTGTGTATATAAACAAGTACTGGTTGCAATGAAACTGTGTTTCCTTACTCATCTCTTGTTTTCCATTATTAAAAAAAGTTTAAAAAACAATGGGAGAATGAAAGAACCTCAACTGAATTTGAACTATGGTAATGCAACAAGGTGGAGAAATCCACCACGGGGAGAGGGTTCAGGGAGGGGTGGGGGGAATCCTGGTGCCTTTAACACTGTGTCACATAATGTAATACAATTAATAAAAAAACATGGGAGACTATATTTCAATAAGTAAGTAAGTACAGAATGAAGGTTCAACGTCCTGCAGACCTCGTGTCCAGCAGATCTTAGCTGCACCAGCAATTGACCTCAGTTTACTCCTCTGTAAAATCTGATAGTATCGGTAACTACCATTAAGGGTTGTTGTCTGGATTAAATTGATTAACACAGGTAAAATGTTATGGGTAGTGTCTGTTTCCTAGTAAGCTAATGATACCATTACAAAAAAATTGGTTTTTCCTCTTCGTTTTTCCTGATTTTTTCCACTCTGACTTTCTACTTTTCTCATGGCTTGATCTGATTCCAAGAAACTTGGACACTTCTCTCTGAGGAAGAGGAGGGGAAAGGCCATACAGAGGAAAACATTAAGGGCAGGGCTATTCTTTTAATTCAAAATAAGCAGCTTTTCTGTTTAGGGACTGAAAGCTAATTTTGTATCACTTCAATGTGGCTTAAAAGCTTGTCCAACTAAACCAAAGAAGCTATGTTAAACAATTCACATGAGGGCAATTTAAATCTCATTCATAGAATTGTAAAGAATGGTCAATTAATACTGTTGGACTATTTTTATAACATCAAAGGAAATTTTATTTAACACCAATATTAAAGACATCTGGTTTTATGATGGCAATGTCAGTAAAATGTCCCCCTAATGGTCTAGTATTTACGTGAAATTCTTTTTAATCTGTTTGGTTTTGGACTTTATTAGTTTATAGAAGAATCTACGATAGCAATGTAAAATTGAAATCTACTTAAAAATAACACTTGACTGCACTAGATTCATTTTGAGTGACTTCTTTATTACACAAATTTGCAATGGATATAGGGTTACGAGTGGGATTATTTGAGTGGATGCCAAATATGTTATAGCACTCTGACCTGCAAAGAGAAAGAACGTTGCATTATAGGCTTCAGATGTGTACTAGCAATATTACTTCAAGTAGAAGGATCGAACTTTTTAAAAGAAACATTGACATCACACTTCTTCAGAGGAATATTTATATAATTTATGATCCTTGATTTTTTGTATTCATCGCAATTAATTAAACTTTTAATACATTATTATTTTGTTTCTCGATAAATTTCAAGTGGTAGTAATAGTAACAATTTTTAAAAATACTCTTTGGATTATATTGAGACCCAAACAACATTCTAATGAATTTATGCAAGTTCTAGAACCTTTAAACAAAAGACTCAGCAATATACTTAGATGTAGAAACTCCTGCCTGAGTGAGTCTATAAGCTCACTTCCATTTAGCCGCAGTTTCACTAGCCTTACCTCTGGCAGGAGCTGTCCTGTGGGAGATGTGAGCGCAGAAGGTCCCCCAACCAGGGATACCACTCCATTGCAATCCACAGCACTATGCATCTTCCCATTCATGGGCAGAATGGGGAGCACCCTGGAGGTGCGGCTAGCCTGGCTCACATTGCTGTGACGTCGTTCTCCATGCCTGTGTGGCACAAACAGAGAGTCTCTTCGGCTGTCATTGTCCTCAAAAGTACTGTGCTCATCATCAGCAAAGTCATTTTCAGAGCCAATATCCTTTGTTCTCCCTCTGAAGCTGAAAAGGCTTGCCCTACTGTTGCGTCTTGGAGAGAAAAGGGAGCCACGGATGCTCAATAACGACTATGAAGAAATAAAAAGAAAACAATGGAAAAAGTCAGGGTTTGTATCCTGAAAAGTATAACATGACTCATTGTTTCATAGTTGGACACTTATCTAACTCATTGGAAAGGTATGATGTGGTGACTGCTGGTTGCATACTGGCACTCTATACCAGATTCATCTCCTTTTTTTTTTTTCTTTCTGTTGGTCCTTTTGTTCATTGTGCAAGAGCTGTCTCATTTTCTCAACTTAACTCATGCTGTAGCATAGTCAGAAGTTCCTTCTAACAATGCTCTGTCCAATTACTAACACTCAGAACTAAAATTTTTGCTAACCTTCTTTTGGATGTTAGTTTCACATAGTGATGCAAAGCAAAACAACCAAACACACATATAACTTTAGATCTTTCTGGGCCCAGAATGAATCCTAAAGTCCCTTGATGGCCACATCCTGATGTAAATCTCACCATAGTAGAATGTCAGTTTAATTATACTGCAGGAAGATGCCTCTCCCATTCCGTTTCCGTATTATAGGAGTCTTTAAGAATACATTAAACAAATCAAGATGATGGAAGTACATAATCTGTTTCCTGCTTTTTACTTCTCCGTCTCAAGTAATCTGAAGAATAACATATTAAGAAACACCTAGCTTTCCCTAAAACTTTTGTGCAAATCTTCTAATATTTTGTAAATTTTGATCTTATCTGTCCCATTATTTATTTATGAGAGAACCAGAGACAGGGAGATGGGGAACAGTGCCATTTGCTGTTTCACTCCTCCAAACACCTGCAATGTCATTTGAGGCAGACTGGTGCAAGGCTGGAAGTGGGAACTCAATCCACTTCCACTTCATGTGGGTGGCAGGAAACTAACAACTTGACCAATCACTGCCTTGCCCCCCTTGTCTGCACTACCAGAAATCTGGAGCTATGATCCAGGCCAGGGAGTTGATCTCCAGTGCAATGATATAGAACACAAATCTGTTCTCCGTTGCTTTAGTGCTAGGCTTAGCTGTTGATCTGCTAGCCCACTTTTGTGATTCATTATATTGAAAATTAATGTCTGCTTATCCAATATACATTTTCTTCTGTTGACAGGCCTCTGAGTGTCCTTAAGCAATTGTCCTCAGCTCAATTCATGCATCTAGCAGTGGGAGAACATCCTACTTCCCAGAATATTTCAAACACTCAGCCATACAGACTGGCTTAAAATTGGGCATAAAATGTGGCTTTTTCACTAAGAGCCATTCCTTTTTAAAATGACTGTCCAGAACTATGCTTTCAGTTATAAAATTACTAGAGCTGCTCCAAAGAGTTTGCCATGATTAGAGAAACCTGGACGGAGGTACTGGGAAAACGTGGCTATAATGAGCCTTAGTGAGATCCTGGATCCAGTTATACTTTAAGTCTCTTGAAGATATTGTTTACATGAACAAATTATAATTTAGAAGAAAAAATCTACTCTGCATATTTTTTTCACTTGAAGGCATAAATAGTTTTCAATCACTCTTCCCAATATATCATGAGAGATATGGGGCCTCCATCAATATACCCAGATTAAATACTTCTTACTGATTTTGTCTTTTCCAGTATTACTTCCAGTGCTTGCAGGTTGGAGATAGTGCAATTTTCTTTCTCTCTCCTCTGTCTCATCTCTCTCTTCCTCTTCCATCTCTCTATCTCTCCTTTTGTGTTCTCTTCATCTTCCTAGTCACTTGTCTCACTATTTTTTTTCAGGTACAAAGCAAGAAATGCTTCAATATTGCTATGCAGAAGCTCCATAAGAAATAATCAATGATTTGCTCTAAACACGGCATGTCTTATAAGTTTGTGATCACTCACAATGCCCAGCTAGCTAGGAAATAGAGGTAGGAAGATACTACTTCAGGAACAGTGCTATCTCTCTGGACAAAATTTAAAGAACAGCAGAGCATGATTTTCCAGGTTTCCTCATTTTTCCTGAACTACTTTAATCCAAATTGAAATAAAGAAAATTTGAAGGAATTGTTGGTACTTACCGATATTACGCTTCAAGTCTATGCAAAAATTTAGGCACATTCGGGTAAAAGCATAGACAAACTTAGGCCAAAATAGAGGAAAAAATAAACAATGTTTTCTCCCTGACTTTTTCCTTTTTTTTTTTTCCTCTACTAAAATAAATGCTGTCTTTGATTTGATTTTTAGGATACTCACATTGATTATTTAATGTTTATACTAATCAAACTCTAAAAGTTGTGACAATAAAATAAAATTTAATGAGTAAAAGTTGATATTTAGTGAAGGACAAATTGTGTTTTAAAATTGGAATTGAATGCCAATAAATCTCATTTTCATAATCTTATTTGTTTTCAGAAGGAATGAGACTGATTTGTTTACAACATGTAAAGGTGCATGGATTTGCCATACAAAAGGCATGAAGACAAAGCATAATCCATATGTCAAATACATATCTTTTAAATGAAATTGCATTATATATTTTCCCACTAGTTTATTTTAAAGATTTATTTATGTTTATTGAACAATAGATCTACAGAGAGAAAGAGGGACAGAGAGAAAGATTTTCCACCCAGTGGTTCACTCTCCAAGTGGCCACATAAGCCAGAGCTGAGCCAATCTGAAACCAGGAGCCAGGAGCTTCTTCCAAGTCTCCCAAGGCTTTGGGCCATCCTTGGCTGCTTTCCCAGGCAATAAGCAGAGAACTGGATGAAAGTGAAGCAGCTGGGACAGGAATCAGTGCCCATATATAATCCTGGCACATGCAAGGCAAAGACTTTCAGCCACTAGGTCACTGTGCAGGATCCTCCATTAATTTTTAGAGATATTCTTTCCTGGTAGACTGAAAGCATAGAAAACTCAATTTTTTATATAAAATATTATTTAAATAACATCTCAACCCTTAATAATAATTATATGGCATTATTTAACTCATTGAAGCAAAGACACAGTGGATATATACCATACAGTATCACGACTAACAATGATTATTATAACATGGAAAGAATCATGAAGTATATAACAGGCACTCAACAAGAAATATTCCCCTTTGTAGCTGAAATCTGAGAATATAATTAAATTAGTACCTATTTTGGCTTGTAACGAGAGACTTAAATTTGTATAAATAGCAATACAATGTGCAAGTATTGATGGTAACATTGCTAAAGATGTCTTTGTTGCAGTTGCTATTTTACTTAATGAACATGTATTCACTTTTTAAATTGCCTTAGGAAGTACTGTGAGTTCCTAGCTATTCTCTTAGAAATTTCAGTGACAATTAAGAATCTTAAATTTTAAAGTTTCCAAGGCTGTATGAATTGTACAAGTCAAGGCAGCTGGTGACCAACCTCTGTAGTACATAAATCAGGATATGCTTTGGTTGCAAGCCCTATGTATAACCTGAGACACAAATAATCAAGGATGGTTAAACACCATCTTTCATTTAATGTCATGAGTCTTTTGCAGTGCCTGTCTCCTCAAGAATTTGGTGACAGTTGGAAAAATTTTCCTTCGGCTCCCTTTGAAATAAAAGGACAGGTGTACTTTGCGTATTAAGATTGTGTAAAGTGGGAACAGCCATACACATGTCCTGGGCGCATCCCGAATCCACCTCTGTGCTCAGACCATCCAGAAAATCCATAATACACTGGGCCCAGGTACAGTAGCTATTAAGAAATGGGAGCCATCTACTGGCAATTCTCCTGTGAAATATTGCCTGAGGATGCTCAAGCCATTAACAAAATTCCAAAAGAGCATCCCTTCCCCAGCCAGCGAGGTCTAAAAATTCCTTTCTGGAATTCCAACAAATGGTAAAACTCACAAATTGTTAGAAGTGACACCTGAATCTGGAGCGCCATTACCATTAAGTGAGCAGTGTGCCATGCAGAGGACAGTGTCTCTCCATCAAATTTGTCCATGCTATCAACAGCTACTCGTCTTAGACATTAGTGTTGTTACCTGGTGTGGAGAAGAAAACCTCTTTTCATATGTCAGCCTACTTCCTTCTAAGGAAAAGCGGAAACCCTTTCTTCTTATGCTGTCCTCAGATTCAGATTTTCTGACTACTTCTGCCTTCTCTTCTTCTCCGGACTGTTCTTTCTGCTTCTTTTTCTTCCTTCTGTTTTTCAACTCCTTCTCGCTCTTGGAGCTCAACTTCGATGCCACCGAAGAACTCTCGGAGAAAACGCCAACCCCGCCCGCACCACTGAAATCCCTGGATTCAGCGGAGGCCGCTGCAGCTGCTGCCTGGAGGGCACAGAGTAAGTGGTTATGGCATATATCTTTCTAGAAATCTGTGATATTGCTACTTTAGCTATAATAAACTACTTAAGTGGGAGAACAATAGATAGAGAAGAGAGAGAAAGCTCCTGGCTGCTGGTCCTCCCCAAATGCCTGCAACACCCTGAATCCAATCACTTCTGTCATCCTATTGCCTCCCAAGACACGCAGAAGATGTTGTCTGTGGTGAAAACTCATCAACAGCTAAACCCACATTGTGTTTTTTAATGATGAACGATCTGTCTGTGGCATTGACTATCATTTTAAGAAAGAAGAATTTTAAGAATTAGAGGCTTTCAATTTTGAGCTTATCAGCAGCTACCTTCCAGCACTTCTTTTTGGCAGTTAATATTAGTGCCAGCCTGCATTATTTGATTTAATTCAGTACAGTGTCTTGTTTTAAAGAACTTTTCTCTCCTTGAGACTATTGCTAAGAAATGTAGGTCAAGAGCATATTGTGTATTGTACATTGGGAAATTATAGATCGTAACGCACAAATTTATGTACATTAAGGCAATTTTAAAAACTATAGTGTCCAAGTTTATTGTTACTGCCTTAGGACACTGTGTTGTTCTGGAAATTATTATGCATTTGAGTACATACAGTGACAAAAGGAAATAACCCTCCATATTCAAAAGAAGCTTGAAATATCCACTGGATTATTTAAAGCAATTAACTCAAGCAAACAAATTAGTGAAATCATCACCATGTTTCAAAGACTCTTCAAGCCCAAATTAGCAGATTTGTAGCATGCAAGGTAGATATGTGAGGGTTTGTATTGATTGGCCCCTTGAGCAATCCACACATTTGCATTTGTGCACATCATCTAGAGGAGCACATCTGCTGACAAGGTCTTTGGCTTTCCAGACTTAGGAAGTTATCTGTTCAGCTGTGATTTTCTGACCCTTTCATCCTTGGCAGCACTGCTGTCATGAAAAAGCAACTGCAATCACTCTCTTTGTTCCTTGGAAATTAGGGTATGTTGATGAAGGTCATGTAGGATGCCTACTTTGTGAGCATGAGTGCGTGAGGGTGTTGATACCGCAAGGCAAATAAGTCAAACAGAATCTCCATGTTTTGATGTCAACAGTGTTGGTGATAGTCACCAAATAAATAGGCCTCAACACTAACACACAGACAAATTTCTAACGTGACTGCAGTCACTGATCGCAGCAATTAGGTTGGAGCACTGAGAAAGTGAGAGTAAAGAGCTTACCCATACCTGAGCTTCTTCTTGCTGCTTTTTCAACTGCTCAAGCATCTGCTGAAACTCAGCTTCTTTCTGTTCAGCCTCTTCCAGGGTGGCCTGATTCTGTTCCTCATAGGCCATGGCCACCACAGCCAGGATCAGATTGATTAGGTAGAATGAGCCCAAGAAAATGACCAGCACAAAAAATATCATGTATGTTTTTCCAGCAGCACGTAACGTCTGTAAAAATGGAGTTGATATTTTAACAAATATAAAGGATGTTACAAACTCAAACTCAAACTCAAAAATGTTCTATAGCAGTTCTGCTGATGTTAATACTTCTTGCTTGCTAGAAGGATTTTAAAAATATTTTCTCTTATTAATAAGGATTTAAATAATATTCTATAGTCATTATCTTGTTCTCAGTACTTAATTCACCCAGAATTATTTTCTTTTTCTCACCAGTTGATAAAGGTTTTCCCAAAAGTCTTGAGTCATGAGGCGAAATAAGGACAAGAAAGCCCAACTAAAGGTGTCAAAGCTTGTGTAGCCGTAGTTGGGATTCCTACCAGCCTTCACACAGATGTAACCTTCTGGGCACTGGCTGTAGTTAGGTTAGAGAGAAAAGAGAAAATCAGTAACAGCATTTCAGTTGGGTAGCTTCTCCGTTCTAGATACCCATCTTAACACCCTTCCATTTTACAAACTTCATGGAAACTTCTTTCTCTCACTCTAACTAACCATTGACCCAGCATTATGGAGACTACCCCACATAAGAATAGTATCTATTGAGTTTTTTTAAACTCTTCTATGCTTTTAATTTCCGTATTATGTCTATCATGTTTTCATGTAAGAGCAGTAATTTATTCTCTAATACCTTCTGGATATTGTGAACATGACCCCATACGTAAATCCACAGAAACAAGGTTTGTTTTCACTGAGTATTTCTTGAAGCAGAAGTTTGTGTGAGTGTGGGGTAGGAGAGATGGCAAAGATTGGATGGAGCACAATAAGAAGAGAAAATGGCTTTGTTTAGTAAGGATTTTATTGTTTAACCTTAAAAGTCAACCAGACCTGGGTCCGGCGGCGTGGCCTAGTGGCTAAAGTCCTCGCCTTGAATGTGCCGGGATCTCATATGGGCGCTGGTTCTAATCTTGGCAGCTTCACTTCCCATCCAGCTCCCTGCTTGTGGCCTGGGAAAGCAGTCGAGGACGGCCCAAAGCCTTGGGACCTTGCACCCGTGGGGGATACCCGGAAGAAGTTCCTGGATCCTGGCTTTGGATCGACATAGCATCGGCCATTGCGCTCACTTGGGGAGTGAATCATCAGTTGGAAGATCTTCCTCTCTGTCTCTCCTCCTCTGTGTATATCTGACTTTCCAATAAAAAAAATAAATCTTTAAAAAAAAATCAACCAGGCTAGATCTAAGTGGACCAGATCTCATGAACGAGTTTCATAATCTTGCTAATCTTCATGTATATCATATGAGAGGGCTAATACTAGAGACATCTCTCAAATTCTCAAGCAGTGAATAGGGTCATATATATGAAGTATTTCATGCTATGATGGTAAGAAGTTAAAATTGGTTTGTTTTACCTCTCCTTAGCATATGGAGATAAAGGTAACTTTAGATTTTTGTGTCTACTTCAAAAATCTTTCCAAATAGCTAACAGAGCATTTCTTTTAATTTCTCTAGGATTTAGTTCCATGTACCATGCTTCTTAATGATAAATGTTTGAACAATGTCAATCATAACAAGTACAAACTTCTACTGAGTGCTGTGATTGTTCTACATTCATTGATCCACTGAATCCTCACAGCAATCCAATATAATTGCTATTTGTCACTAGAAGAAATTAAGGAAGTACATGATGTAATCATATGTGAATCTGTGTGGACTCTGAATTATTCTCTCAATCATTTTGCTGAAATGTACCTGATATGTGGTTACCATCATTCTGAGATCAACATCGTATTCAGTGATCTATTTTCAGCCATGGGGATCACATTAACAAATGCTAAATATAACACTTACAAAAATATGTGTATATGAATCTATCAACTTAAGTTTCTTTTGTATAGGTACCAATTTTCTCTATTTTCCACTGAACTAATTTGGAAGATTAGACGTGACCTAGTATGGAAAAACAATTGCTGCATAAGAGTGTGTGAAGGAGGTGAGAATCCACACTTATCTGGCTATTCTGAGTCAGCGTGACCAGGAATTTATGCAGGGTTTGAATGAGAAGTGAGCGGGGGAGAATGGGGTGGGAGGTGGCAGATTATTGAAGCTGATGGAGCAACATATAATGAAACACATTAGGAAGCACAACTTACCCTGCATCTGAGCTGTTGCCACAAAGCAGAGCATCATTTTGCCCTTCCAAAAAGTAAAAGTGACCTATTTGAAGATCAAAGTTAGAATCATTAAAACAAATCTTGAAGACATTTTATAGATAATTCCATGCTTTTGGAAAATATTTAAAGATAAAAGATTAAATGCAGAGTATTATAGAGGAGGCCCACATTGTGGCATAACGGGTGAAACTGTTACCTGCAAACCCTGTATTCTACATGAACGCCAATTCTAGACTCAGCTGCTACACTGCCAATTCAGCTCCAGGCTAATGCCACCAGGAGTGCAGAGCAGAGCGACCCAAGAGCTTGGCCACCTGCACACACATGGGAGATCCAGAGAAACTCCAGGTTGAAACTTCTGATTTCAACCTGAACCAGCCTGGCTATTGCATTTATGTTTAGAGTTAACTGTCAGAAGAAAGATCTCTCTCTTACTTTCTCTCTCTCTCTCTCTCATTCACTTTCTCACCCTGTAACTCTGCCTTTCAACTAAATAAATTATTGTTTTTAAATAATATAAAGGTGACTGTTTTTATTATATCCATCATGGGGCATCTTCTAAATATAAAAACAGAAAAAAACAAGACATCCCATTTGGTAATTTAAACCAATATTTTAAAATGATAATGTATTTATTTGAGATGCAGATGGTGGAGGTGTTAGGGAAGTGAGAGTGAGAGAGCAAGCATATGAGAGTAAGGTCCCATCTGATACTTCATTTTTCAAAAGTATGTAATGGCCCAAACCAGAGCTGGAAACAGTCAAAATATCCCACAGAAGTGGCAAAGTCCCCAGGTCTTGAGAATCACCAGTTGCCTCCCCAGCTGCGCACAGCAGAAAGCTATAATCGGGAGTTGAGCTAGGACTCAAACCAGCAACTGTGATATGAGAAACTTGTGTCCCAAAACATGTCATAAATGATAGGCCAAACCTCTGCTCCAAAATTGGGCTTAGGTATACAAAAGTTGTTATCACTTATGCATTAAAACAATTAATAAGATGGAAAAAGCTTAAAGATATTTCTATCACAACAGACACTACATCGTTAACATATTTGCTAAATTAAAGAATCCACACACATTCTAAAGGGTAAAATGCCAACAGATTCTTTTTTCACATTTAAAAAAATCTTACTTCTTTTTATTATTATCATTTTATAATTCAGTTCCATAGGCCCTGGGATTTCCCTTATCCCCTCCCCAGTTCCCTACCCCCTCACTGAATTTCCCTATATCATTACTATAGTTTTGTTCTTCATACACAGTCATATGTACATCATTGTGGGCATGGACAGTGGCAGAGTCCAACATCCTATTGTCAAGATATATTAAACAGTTTCATTGGAAGACCATCTTTGGTCTGGAAGTAGAAATACATACGGCATTGTATCCTCACATTTGGATATGACAGTCTCCATTACACAGTCTCTATACATCCCTTTAAATGAAAAGCCACAATATAAAAGCAACAACAGGAAGGAATATAGCAATTTACAATGCCATAGATTTAATAGCATGTTACTAGATATGATACTCTCCATTACACAGCTACAATATATCCCCTTAAATGAAAAGCAGCAAACAATATCAAAAACAGGAAGAAAAAAAAAGAAATTAATGTCATGAAGTTAAGTAACTTGCTACTGAATGACTGATGTGTCACTGGAGAAATGAAAAAGAAAATCGAGAATGTTCTTGAAGAAAATGATGCTTCTGTATGATCTGTCAGTGAAGAATTTACTGAGGAAGTGTTTGAAGAGCTGAAACTAAAAAACAACAACAACAAAAAAATAAATCCACGAACTAGTTTCCTCTGATCTTTGTTGGTGAGACATGTCTCCTGTAGGCAACAAAAAGATGGGTTTTGCTTTTCTTAATCCATTCTACTAATGTATGACATTTTATTGATGAGCTTAAGCCATTTACATTCAGGGTTAATATGAAAGGTGGTAATTTGGTCCTGTCATTTTAGCTATGGGTAGTTCATTGGTTTAGTCTTCTGTTGCTCTTTACTGGGAAGTTCTTCATATTTGCCTTTGCTTTTGGTGGGCACTATTCCTTTTCTCTGTCAAGAGAAAATCTTGAAGTATCATTTGTAGGGCAAGTTTGGAAGAGGCATATTCTTTCAACTTTCCTTACTGTGGAAGGATTTTATTTCGTTTTCAAAGACAAAGAAAGGTTTGTTGCGTAGCTTATCCTGGACCAACAATTTTTTTTTTCTTTTAGAATCTAGAATATGTCATTCTAATCTCTTCTGGCCTGTAGAGTTTCCTGTGAGAGGTCTCCTGTGAGTTTGATTGGCATTCCTTTGTATGTCAGTTGATTTTTTTTCATGTGCATACTTAAGGATCTTTTCCTTACGTTTGATTGAAGAGAGCTTGAATATCATGTGTCATAGGGAAGATCACTTTTAGCCAAGCATGATAGGAGTTCTGTGACCCTCCTGGCTGTTGCTTTTCAATTCTTTCTTCAAATTAGAGAAAATTTCCCTTATTATTTCATTGAATACAGCTTTACTCCCAGTTTCTCTTTCTGCCTCTTCTGGGACTCCCATCACTCTTATATTTGGTCTTTTAATAGTATCCTTCAATTCTTGAATTTTTTTTTTGGCCTGATTCAGCTCTGCTTCCAGATTTTTGTTTGTTTCTTCCTGGTGACAGAAAATATCTTCTAATTTTGAGATTCTTTCTTCTGCCTTCTTCATTCTGTTTTGGAGACTCTCCACTGTACTTTCAATTTGCTCCACTGTACTCTTCCTTTCTGATATATCAGCTTTCCTTTGATTCATTTCCTGTGTGATGTTTTCCTTCATATTCTTGAATGCCTGCTTTCCGTGCTTCTTGTTGTTGATAAGAAATTTTATAACAAGTGTTTTAAAATCTGTATCCCCATTTTCTCAATGTCTTTCTCAGCGAACTCTGAGGTTTGCAAAGGGTTTTGCTCCTAGGCAGTGAGTCTTACATTAAATTCACTGTGGCTTGGTCTCTTTTTTTGCTCTTGGTCATTGCTCTTGGTTATCAGTTTCTTCACTTTGGGGCAGGTTTCTAAGCTGTCACTCACAGGTCTACAATTCAATTTTACTTATTGCAGTTGTTACACAGCTCTTTGTTTGCAGTCACTTGTTTCACTCCCTCTCGTGATTTCCAGGTCTGGGTTCTTATGTTAGATTTCCACCATGGGCTCTGTAGCTCCTGGCTCACCACTGTCCACTGCCTGTGATAATTGCTGCAGCTGCACCATTGTCTATACAACCTCTTTCCCACTTCTGGTTGGAGCAGGTCCCAGGATTAGGGAGACACCAGGTGTCATATATATAGCTGGGTTGCTGGTGGTAGTGATCTTGCTGGAACCTATTGGCTGTTAGGTCTGAGGGCCACACGTAAGTATTTTAACCCGTACGATACCATAGTCAGTATTATTTTCCCATTGGACCAGTGCAAATCACTGAGCTCAGTGAGTTCTCGCTGAGGTCAGTGTATGCAAAGCTCACTTTTTTCCTGCAGTCTTAAATTTTTCCCACATGTAAGAAATGGTGCCTGATCTGCCACTACTAGAGTTTTTGGTCTGCTGGCCATCAAGTCTGAGGGCTACCAGGACCTATCTTTGGTGGAACCTGTAAGATTCCACATTGTTGCAGTTTGCTGAGCCAGAAATGAGTTCAGTCCCATTCCAGTGCATGCGTAGTACTGTCTATAGCCTTTGCCTTCTTAAACAAACTGGCACCCAATATGGCTCTAGAAGGCCAACTGGGTTGTAAAATCCACCCTCCTCCCACACTGCCCATCTGGGACCTGCTGCTGCTGGGATCTGCGGCTCTGTCTCTGCTCCTGGTCACATGAAATAGACCAGCAAGATGAGCAGTTCTTTGTTTGGTTTCACCTCTGGAGCTCCCAGTAAACGTTCCCTCCCACCTTGTTGCTGATGGAGTTCTGGCTGCTGGTAGAGTTCAGATTGCCTTTAGCTGAATGCTGCTGGAGTATCAGTCACTGCAGCACCACACCATTGTGTCTGTCAGCCTCCACGTGCCCCTCTGTTGTCCTGCCCTCTCCTGTTTCCTTGGAATGTGCCCTCTCTGCTTCAAGCTGGCTAATATTTTTCTGTCTGTTTAAACATGTCCTTACTCCATTCTGCCACTCAACAGATATTTTATATAATATCATAGCAAATACACAATTTATTAATAATACTAATAAACATTCTACATATTCTATTATACAAAAAGTTAAGGACTAAATGACAAAAGCAGGTGCATTTTTCATTCTATCAAAACATTTTAAAATTGATAGTGTGTATCAGTAATATAATCTATATGAGTACTCAATTCAGTACTAAGGTCACTACTCTAGGGAATGTATGGAAGTATGACCGCTCAGAAGTGCAGTACCACTACCACTACCATAAATAGTGTGTAGCAGGGTGATCACCCAGTAGCACAATCTGATAACTTTAAAGTACTCTTAATTTTGTCATATGTTTTAGCACCTCAAAATGCTATTAGTAAAAATTCATCTGAAAGAAATGCCTGCAAATAGGAAAAAAAGTATAAAGATTACCTTTGTATCATTATTACAACATTAATCAGTGGGAAATCCATTTTGAACAGAACAATCCCATTTATCCATTTAGCCAATGAATGTTTTTCTCTCAAGTACAAATCATTATAAAGCTCACTAAACAGTAGTAGTGAGACTACTACTAAACAATATAGTGAGAAGTTATGTAATTTCATATGGCTCTAAATATCATGCAGATCATGAAAAATATCTTGGAATAAATGTGCTAGCAGGGTATTTTTAATAAGAGATCAATGAATATTAATTAGCTAACAATGCATGGAGAGGGAAACTTCCAAATGACAGGAAGGCTGGCTTCAATGATAAGAAAGTTTATTTGTAAGTACATGCCTAAAATAAAATCAAATGTCACTTATAAACCATTATAATGGACTGACACCAAAAGGATAAATTGGAATATCAGTGAGTCAATGGATAAATCAGGGTTGCTTAACTTTCTGGTAATTTCACAATTTCTGGTTTTGTCTTGGTGAATGGTATCTATGTTTCCATTTACATAATATGTATTCAATGAATGTGTTGATTCAACCAAATGAGATACTATGCTCCATCACTACATCTATTAAAGACACCTTTCAGCACAATATACTGAACAGTTCAAAGTGCTGACTTAAATATTTACAATTTTATTTTATTTTAATTATTTTTAAAGAGTAAATGTAGAAAAAAAGTAAATGTAATTTGTATAGATGTACTTTTTTCCTTCCAACCCCTTCCTTCTGCTATTATCTCCTTTTTTTTTAATTTTTAAAATAACATTTTAGATTTGCATTACTTTGAAAGGATTAATATTTCATTCAGAAAAGTTTATCAAGTAAAAAGCACATATTTTTGTTCATATAGCATAAATGGAATTGCTTTCAACCCTGGTTTAGGAAATGATGTTATATAATTTCCTATAGTGATGTATGTTAAACTGTCAAATGACATAAAATTGATAAGGAGTAAAAACGTCACTTGGTATTTCTTAAACATGTAGTAAGCTATTTTAAATTAGTAAAATTTTAAATTAGTAGTCATAAAATTCACCTCAAAGTTGAGATACACTTCATTATATACAGTTCTCTTTTTCCCATCCCAAATCAAAAGAGGATTCCCAATGAAACTGTTAACTATATCTTAACAATAGGATGCTGGATTTTGTACCATTACCTATACCTACAATGTCAGGATATATCTTAATAGTAGAATGATAGACTTGTGACTGCTGCTGAGGGATTATACTTTTGTGATAATATGGGTCAAAAGAGTTGCGGGGGGTGGAATGAGTTGCATGGAAAGAGAAATCCCTGTGCCTATGGAATCATATAATGAAAATTTTAAAAAATTAAAACAATTATTAGATAAGAGAATATATCTTACTTTTATCCTCAATATACTCATCCCAGTTAAACATATTCATTGTCCTGTTGAAAATGGTGCCATTTCCATCCAGAGAGTTATTAAAGAGAGAAGTGATGTTTACTTCAAAGGAAGAGTTATCTGGGGGCCACTGCAAACACTTGTTCCTCAGGTTGCCCATGAACAGCTGCAGCCCTATTAGAGCAAACACGCTCAGACAGAACACGGTCAGGATCATGACGTCAGAGAGCTTCTTCACCGACTGGATCAAGGCCCCCACTATGGTCTTCAGGCCTATAGAGAAAATCAGAGGGAGAAATTAAATATGGTATCCAAATGATCCTTTACTGATAAAAATATCATGAGCTTGTCCTGGAAAATAAAAATGTCATGCAGAATGACAATCATATTAGTTATGTATTTGTGATTGAATATTTTCATGAAAAGCCTGCTAGCTGGTGAAAATGAATGAAAGCAAAACCTGTATGCTCGTTAGAAAACTGAATGGAAATGAATCAAAAGCATATTTCTAAACACTCCTTAGAGCAAAAGAAATGATTTTGTTATTCATGCTTAAATATCAACCTTGTGTAAATATTTTGCTTTTATTTGCAGATGTCTTACTCCCTAACCCCTTATTGGTTTTAGACAAGTCTGTATGAATGGAGTAGAAAGAACTCGTGAAGCCACTGAATTACGAATTTATGTATTTGTGGGTGTCGTATTCTTGGAGATGGGTTAGCAAAAGGAAGACATCTGAAAATCGAGCCTCATGCAGCACTCATGCTATCCCTTGCTCTTTCATTTATTTGCAATTAAAGATTACCAATTTTAGGCCTGAATGTTTAAATTTGCATCTGTCTGGATGTCTTAATAATTTAGCTTCTATGCAGAAAGCTTGATGTTACAGGATGCAAACCATGTAGCCTGTTACTGCCAATGCCTCATGCAAAAGTTGTTAAACTCAAAGGCTGATTTAGAACAGTTGTAAAGAAAGCAACCAGTAAAAAGCAAAGAATCAAATCTGTTCCGAATATGATGCAGTGATTCTTGCCTTCTGTGTGCACTTTATCAGCATTATGCGACAAGCAACAAGGCAGGCCTCTGCACAAAAGCTGTGGCCGCAGCACCAATGCAGCTAAAGTCAGCCTCGGTGTTTAACCTAGCTCTCACCTGGAATGACTGAAATTGTTTTCAATGCTCGGAGAACTCTGAATGTTCTCAACGCTGAGACATTGCCCAGGTCCACAAACTCTGTCACATATCTGTAATAGGGGATTCACACACAAACACAATGACAGAACACAAGAAACAGTTGGAGATATAAGGAGCCTACCACCTTATACCAGTGTCTTCTTACCTGGGATTACAGAAATAGTTTTCAAAGCTCTCAAGACTCTGAAAGTTCGAAGAGCTGAAACATTGCCTAGGTTTACAAATTCTGTTACATACCTGTAGAATTAAATCAGAGTTATTCAGAATTTAGCGAAATCTAAGTCTATGTTGGTCTTTCATGAAGACCTTTTCTACTCAATGAGTATTGCCATCAAGTTTCCCATTTAAGAGGAAAAAATGGCAGTTTCATCAGTCATGATCTTGGATATGTGGGCAATCCTATTTTAAGAGCTTACAGTGTTTAAGGGAACCAAAGCCATGTCATTTACCACAAGAGTTCCTAATTTCTCCAAACTGAATATTGATTGAAATAAAAATATCCTAAATTTGCATGACAACTAAGAATAATGCTTGATCTGGCATATGAATCCACCAAGGAGAACTATGGTTCAGGATCCCACTAGTGATTCACTCTTCCAGGTGAATGTATTAAGAATATGTATTAAGATACTCACGCAAAAGTAATGACTGTGAAATCCAGCCAATTCCATGGATCCCGTAGAAATGTGAAATCTTCTAAACAAAAGCCCCTTGCAAGTATTTTAATAAGTGATTCAAAAGTATAAATTCCTGTAAAGGTGTACCTGAGAGAAAATATCCAAGCTCACATTAAATAGTAATTTATATGTACATGTCTTAAAGGTGTCTTAATAAACAAACAAAAAAATAGAGGCTCCCACAAGGAACATTAAAATGAAAGACATTCTCAGTATGAATAAAGGAACTTTGAGCTTTCCCTATGAATTAATTTAATAAATTTAAATAATATAATTCCCTATGAATATCTGAAATATACTGGCATTCAATCTATTTTAAGCAACTAATATTAATGTAAAAATGAATGAAGCATTTGTATTTCATAAAGCAGGTACCATTACGGTCAATGAAATGGGTACTACTAAAATAAGAGACTGTAGTAATCATGAGAAAAGGAACATTAAAATTAGGCATAATTTTAATCAGAAGATACTAGTAAGCACTGTGAGAAACTCGCAAGGAAGAGGGTTACAAAAACTGATAGTCAAATGGTGCTGTCAGTGGAGTATGCCACCGCAGGCGTTAGCATAGAGGAAATTAGTGCTTTAAATACATTTGAATTAGCATCTGCTTGCATGATTTGCTAAGAAAAAAAAGTGACGTTAAAGGTACAAATTTGAAACAGAAGAGGATGTTGATGTTATAAGATGATTTTTAAAAATTTTACTTACTCCACATTCTTTGTCCAGTCTGGAGGGTTACTCATGGTCATAAACACACAGTTGGTCAAAATAGTGCACATAATGAGCACATTGAATAAAGTGAAAGGATATTGTTAAGGAAAATACAAGTCAATGGAAACATCTTATTTTCACACATTCTCATGCCTTCACCTGAAACCATTATGTTTAAAACAATTTGTGTTTATCCTTGTTTTATGCTACTATTCTATCATTCAGTTTCTTCCTGTATATACTTCAAGAACTGTGTATCTAAATCATATCTCAAGTCAAATTATGAGGTTATTTAGAGGTTTTATACATATTTGCAGTAATTAAAAAGACTGAATGCAAAGAAATGAGTTCATTGGTTGATTGTGCTCACTCCAGTAGCGCATATACTAGAAATTGGTTAACAGTTCATCAATATATATTTTCTTAGTAATGCACTCAACAACTGGAATTTCAGTACACAAATGCTAGCAAAAATTCACCAAGAGGATTTGGGTAATTAATGTATTATGACTTGATTATAAGAGTAATGTTGGTGGGAGGTCTTATAATAAACTCCTCTCTAATTGCAGTATATAATATCTTGTAATTGCCCATAAAATTCTGGTGTGAGACAAGATGACTAGTGTTAGCACTGGCAAGTCTTGGGTTTATGACTGAGTCAAATTACTTATTAAGTTTCCTGGGTTTTATTGACCTAATCATTAAAGCAAAAAAAAAAAATCATGTGCAAAATTGCCATGGAGTTCAAATTAATAAAAAGTGGGTGAGTCTCCTATAAATGAACATGTGAATATGAATGCTGCAGGAAAGTGTTTAAAAATTTGTTTTTCTTGCTTCTTGAACCATAGAGACCACTATAACAATGCCTGATTTGTTTCATCCCCTCACTCTTTTCCATTGTAAATGTAGCCATAACCTTTTACTTTCCTTTGTACTGAAAAAAATAACAAAACTAAAAGTATTCTGAAGTATTCAGTACTCTAAGAATTTAAATGATTTTTCTTCACATTTAGCAAAATACACAATAATGGTTCATGGCAATTATGTCAAACTCCTTTCTCAATGTGACAATTAACAAATTGCAGATGGAATGTATGATATTTATTTTTCATTGTCTATTTTTGTTGTATCATCACATTACTTATATATAATAAAAAGTAACCCAGATTTTAACTGCAGTACAACAGGACAATGAACAGCCTACATTTTGTTCATCTAGAAAGGAAGCTTCTAGGCACAGACAACTGACATTATTCAAAACAGCTTTGATTTTTCTGTTTCTTTTTAGTTGCAATGTGGTAAAGCCCATGCTTAACTCTCAGCTTACATGAGAAACAATCACAAGCAAATGATGTGGATTGGCCACCTGAGGGCACTAGAATCAGAGAAAACAAAAACACCATTTCAGGGAAGAAACAAATTATTTCTCTTTATTGCTAAAAACAAAGATAAGATCAAATTAAAGATATCTGATTATCAGTTGGTACCATTGTAATGCATGCTCATCAGTGCTAATGGTCATCCACAAGTTTTGTATTTTCCCACGTGGCTTTGTCTTCCACTTTATGCAAATAGAATTTCAAATATTTTGTCCTTTCCTTCAACACACAGTCCTTTTCTTTCAAGCAATCCATTTCAAGCTGATGACCTTATTTCTCCCACACAATGAGGAGAGGAAACATCAGAGTATTCCCACTTACAATCTCTAAACCGACCACATCTGGACTTAATCATTTATCCTATTATAGTGGGGGAGTTTCCAATCTCTGGATCCTTTCCTGTCAACTGAAATTTGCTTAAATCTCTCCTATTTAGAGGAAAAAAGAAAAAAAATTACCTCCTGTAAACTACATCCTCCTTTCATGCTTAGGACCCTATCTCACCCTTTGATTTCACACTCAAAGTGATTTCACTCCCTTTGATTTCACACTCAGTAATTTCTCTGTTTTTGCCTGTGTATAACATTCTCATCTGTCATCTTTATCGACAGAAGACAAACATTTCCATATTTTGGTCTAGAAACAAAAAATACTAATGCTGAGTTCTTGATTCACTATGTTTCCCAGCAGCATTTGGCAAAGTTTATTCTTACTTTTTCTTGAATTTTATTTTCTATGTTTTTAGAAACTAATCCCATAGTTGTTTCAAGTTTCATAGGCAAAAAGTTTTCTACATTTCTTGAAATACTTTGGTCCCATTTTTTAAAGGAAAGAAACAGGATCTCTTTGCTATCATCTTTCTTGCTATACTCAGTTTAGTAGACTCCATCAACAAACATAGCTCCCGGCACTAATGACATACCCACTGGTCTCCAATGCTTCTCTTCAGGTTAGATTTCTCTTCTGTATTCCACACCACCAGCTGGCCATAAAATATCTCTATTCACAAATCTCATCAGCAGGACAGTCACTTAAAAGATTTTGCATTCTGAAACTTACGAATTACTTCATCTCATCCCTCTTCCAATACTACTCCTCTGACATCTCTGTATCTTTTTGAATATTCATTGATTTGGCTGGGAACATAAGATGACATCTGTACTTTTTCTCTCTCCCTAAGTCTGCACATTCACTGAACCATCAGTTACTATCATTCCGGATTCAGCCTATTTTGTTTTATCCTGACATCATTTTACCGTCCAAATGTTTTTCAAGATTAGCATTAAGACAAGTAGTCACGATCTTAATCATTGCAATCTTTTCAATACTGGTCTTTCTGAACCCATGTTTGACTTGTTTCAATTCATTGCTCATTCTGCATCAAAATAATCTTTGTAACTGTAGTTTGAATCATTTCTCTAGCTTTCTATTACTCTTGGGTAATGATGAAAATGTCTTCACAGAGTCAAGATTTTAGCAGGACTGACTCCTGTCCATTTCCCTAATTTCATGAACTTTTCATATATTCTTTCTCAAACAAACATCTTGAAAATTCTACCTCTTTTCCACAGAAAACTCATCACTTCACTGTAGCCAACTCACCATTTTTCTGTAGTACTGAGATTGACCAATTTTGATTCTACCAGTATGTGTTTCTATAACACCTTGCATGATTGCTCCAATGAAAAATATTAATGTTGGTTTTTCTACTAGATTCTTGAGGACAGGGACTGTTTTACGTTACTGACTACTATACATTTGCCATTTCACCCAGTGTCAGTAGACTATTGTTAAATTTTGCAACTTATTTATAACTAAAATGGTTAACATTTTTCCTTTGATGATGAATTGGGCGATGTAATGGAAAAGCACAGAATACCACATGAAATTTGTCATTACATAGATTGTATATGTAAGTTTCCACATGTTTTTGGAAAGATGGGACACAGAGTGGCTACACTGTGTAAATTAATAGCTTCACAAGTTTGTGTCACATAATTCATTTATTTTCGGTTTTAAGACCATTCAAAATATTATTCTTGGGGAGAACATCTGGCCTAGTAGCTAAGATACTAGTTACCATGCTCTCAGCTCACATCAGAGGACCTTGATTTGTCTTGTGGTTCTGCCTCATGCAGATCTTGAGAAGCACCACTGATAGTTCACCTGTTTGAACTACTGGAGAAAACTGAGTGCATTGAGTCCTCAGCTCCCAACTTCCACAGCCCCACCTGTTGATTCGTGGGGGCCATTGTGGAGTGAACCAGTGGATAGAAACTTTCTCTCTTTCCCTTGTTGCTCCCAAACACACAAATGAATTTTCAAAACTCTACCCTTTACAATAGCAGAATGTGATGACATGCAGAAGTTTCAAAAGTTCATGGAAATGTATATTATCTTCTAATTGAATTTTCTATAAAGTTTTGAAGCACTCATATATGAAAACAAATATATATTTCAATATTAATCATCAATTGATATGATAATTTCCAGCAGCTCACAGACAATAAAATATCATGTTCAAAAAGTAAGTTATTTTCCAAATTGTATAACTGTCTTCTTTACAAAACAGTATATATTTAAGATCATGACAGATGCTTAGAAAGAAATACAATTATTTTGTCTTGAAATAACAGGAGATAATCTGTGTTGGTTTTTATGCTTGATATTTAATAGTTATTTCTAGATAGAAAGTTGTGAAATCTATCAACTTTATTATTCATTGCTAATTTATTTCATCAACTGTATCCTCTTCAGATTATTGCATTTTGGTGTATAACTAAAACAGTAGAATATCAAATAATTTCATTTCAGGTTTTGAGGTATATAAAAATACAATGTAGTTAAGAATTTATACTGATGATATAACAAACACTGAAAAAAGTATAGAAAGCCAATATTAAGGTAGATCTTTAAAAATGACTTTAATAGCCATGCTAGTTCATTATTATTATTTTTAGTGTATCTATTGATTTGAGAGAATGATTCTCATCCCTTAGTTCACTCTCAAATGCTTGCAACAGCTGGGTCAGGTCAAAGTCGAAAACTCAAGACTCATACCTCATGTGGGTGGGAGGGATCTAACTACTAGAGCCATAACCTGCTGCTTCCTAGAGAATGTGGTTGACTGGAAGGTACAGTCAGGACTCAAACGCAGCCTCTTTGATACGCAATGCAGGTATCACAACAGGCATTCTTAAGCTCTGGGCCAAATATCTGCCACAATGGCAAATATCTTGGAACTAATAGTGAAATGCATGTCGTACATTATTTTCTACATTTATATGCCAAGGCATCTGGGCTCAGTGCTTAGCCTAGTGGCTGAAGTCCTCTCCTTGCACGTGCCCGTATGGGAGGCTAGTTACTGTCCTGGCAGTGCCAATTCCCACCCAACTCCATGCTTGTGGCCTGGGAAAGCACTCAATATGGCCCAAAGCCTTGAGTCTCTGTACCCACATGGGAGACCTGGAGGAAGCTCCTGGCTTTGGATCAGCTCAGCCCCAGCCATTGTGGCCTCTTGGGGTGTGAATCAGCAGATGGAAGATCTTGCTCTCTGTCTCTTCTCCTCTCTGTATATCTGCCTTTCCAATGAAAATAAATAAATCTTTAAAAAGAGGCTTGGAAATGCACAGACTGATACACTGTTAATGACACTAATGCATTCTGTTTGAGAATTTAAAATATATATATATATTTTTTTGTTTTGGA